GGCCATTGTTTTCCCAGTAAGAAAAAATGTTTAGTCATTTTTATAGTGCATTGTTTCTTATGTACAAAACAAATTGAGAAAAAAGATGTTCAGTGGCAGTGTTTTATGAATTTGGTCTGCTATAAGTATGACTGTGCCTTTGGAGGTGGTAGAATGCAATTCAGATGTTTTTAATTTTAAAGATATAAATTAAAGAATTTTTAAAATTGCACTCTCGTAGACGTGTTTGTTTTCAACAGTGCAGTCACACAACTCAGCACATCAGTGTTCCTAATCATTGTGGCAAATAGATAGACAGGGTGTGGGTCTGACGTGCAGCCGCAGTCTGACTAAATCTGACACTTTGGTTTAACAAACAGACTTTCTGGCTCGTACCCGCACACAAACATACACACTTGTCTGTTATCACTTCTGCTGCAATGTACAAAGTAGGACACTGGAACAGAAACCACAAATCCTTTCACATATGTTCTATGAAACCAAAAGACGGCTTCTGCAGTAAACTGTCACCTAACAAATGTGAAAACTGAGAATGCACTACACAAAAACAGGTAAAAGTTTATATGATTGTATCAAAAGTATGGAGTATTAAATGTATCTAGTAACTTTACAGACAAGTTTAAAACCACAGAACAGTATGTTTTACATGCTGTGGGTGCCTGTTTTTTTATGTTTAGGCAGTGGTTTTCAACCTTTCTCATGTCATGGACCACTAAATTGATACATATTATGTCAGAGACCGCCGTCTGATTAGATTTCACTTCACAGACCTCTGTGAAAAGATTTCTCTTGTTAGATATGATAAAGACTACAGTTGTCAACTACACTTGAGGAAATAACCATGGAGAAGTGACACATATGATGCAAATAGTCACGACTCTTATTCACATTTGGCTCATCTCTGTAGTGAATTAAGTAGTGAAACATACTATTCCTCATTTTCTGGGGATCCCCTGGGACTCCGTCAAGGACCCCTGAAAGTCTGCAGACCCCTTGTTGAGAACCACTGTGTTAAGGCACACCTAGCAGCATTTATACAAGATGCTTAATTTATTTGAATTTGATACTCTGGAATTTAAGTACTGGAATACCTTAATCAGATTTGATTTTTTTTAAATTGGTCCTTAATTAAAACAGAGAACAGAATCAAAAATTATTTTACGAAACGTATTGGATGAATGCTTTAAAGTAGAAAGTCGAGATTGCCTGTGCTTGCAGTTGTTGTTGAATGCTTGTGGTATGAGCCTGGAGCACTAATGGGTTGGTGAAAACCAGTAAATAGTCAGCACCAGAATGTTTGGCTAGCCTGCAAAACTCTTACACCAGAGCAGCTTCAGCATCAATTATTTTTCTGCTTTTTAACAGTAAGAAAGATGGTTGTGGAGAATACAATTTCATCCTTGGGAAAAAAAAAGGGAGCGCTTGAAAATGTACTTTAAAGTCCTTGAATTTAACTTGCCTCTATCAGTACGAACCCTGTAATAGGTTTCTATGATCAAGGTTCAAATGTCACATCCACAAAGAGGTGAAATGGGTGTTGAGCTGCCATGAGTCGCCACTTAAAAGTGAACTCACAGGACCATCTTCACAGATTTTTGATTCAGTTATTCATTTAAAAATAGATCATCTATAAAAATATTTTTGTCAATAACTGGGGATCACCTGTGCAGTCCTGTCTGATTAATATAATTACTTATAGTGACATCTACTGGTGATTTATCTCAACTGTGCTTTGTTACATCTGGTGACAGTTGTTTTATGTACACTGTAAAAGAACAGGAAAGACAACAAAATGTTCAACACACATTTTAAAGTAATTGACATTTGCCCCATTTTAATTCAGAGTATTGCTGCTGGTGGTCATCTATTCACAATATCAACACTGCTGCCGAAGGCAGGCTCACAGCTGCCGTTCAGAATACAAGATTCATACCTGATACATCTCTGGAAGTCAAAACCAACAGCCTTATATTGCTGATTATATGTACATAATAAAGTGAGACACATTGGAAGACTAAATTTTCAATCTGTTACACACAATGACTGTGGGAAGGAGAAAAGATCGACACATTCTCGTTGGCGTTCATAAAAAAAGTAAAGTAAAAAAGTAAAGTAAAAAGCAATCACGTGCAACCTTGAGATGAATCAAAATCACAGCATGGTTCAAATGTGTGGTGGCTGAAGCCTCACATGACATGTCCCCGTTGTAGGAGAGGTTGTATGGACAACAGAGGGGGACATGATCTCAACATGACACAGAGAGATGTGCAGTTGTGTCAAGGTGAATGCCCACTAGCAGTATGTGTTGGTTTTAAAAGGTCTGACAATCTCTTTGAGCAATATCAGATAACGAGGATTGTTCACACTTAGCCAACCAAATTTAAGAGAAAACGCACCTTTCTCTCTCTGTTTTGGCCTTCCATCCACACAGTGAGTCAGTGTGTTTCTAGCCCAGATACAAAAACTCTCAGGTGAAAAAACAGTTTCCTGAATGGACATTTCAGGAGTCAAAGAGGTTGAACGGCAGATGGGCGTGTGACAAAATTGCGAGAAGTCTTAAAAATTTTTTAAAGTGGAAATGGATAAGTTTTTTGCTGTATTGTGAAGTAAGTATTAATTGCACAATGTAATGGCTTTAGAATAATGACACCATCTGCGTTAAGAGTGGTTCCCTGTACGCCTCGCTTTCACTCTGTAATTCTGTCTGTCACTGAGTACGATCTCACAGCAAAGTGAATGTTCGATTTATGGCACAAAGAAAGTGCGTCAAACGTGCAACCAAAACACAACAGGATAGAGCTTTTGCTTTCCCGGTTGCTCTCAGTAGCTTTCTCCAGTTACTAAGGAGTATCAGTGAGTTCTTTGCAGTTACTATGCACAGTAGTGGAAACGGAAGATGGTGGGACAACTGAAGTAACTGTGGAAACTCTACGTGTCAAAAGAAAAAGAGCCCTGTGGACAGAGAAGGCAAAGAAGGCGAAGAAGGAGAGATAAAAGCCGAGGTAAAATGAGCAAATCTCTGGCGGGCTTTCACTCAATGGACAGCTGCAGGATGAGAGGAACCGATGTCAAGGTGGACTCAAGCCACGTGACTTGGGCTCTAGACATGACGGTAGTCTTGACAAAATCCAAAAAAAGACATGCAACTCAACTTGGACTTCAATTCCAATGACTCCTGACTTCGAATGGACTTCAGTCCTTAGCCTTAAAAATACTTGACACCTTCCCCCGAGCCCAAAGATTAAAAGCAAGTTATTTAAAAGTGTAACACAAATCAATTATTTCCCTTCATTTCCTGAGTCAGATACCATTAATGCAATTTGTAACCACCGAGTCGACACTTAATTCCCCAGATCCACTTTGTTTGAATCAGTTTGACAACATAGAGTCAAGTTGCAGAAGAATAAATGTAACTTTACTGAGTGCCAGGTGGAAAATATCAAAGAGACAAATTTGTGTATGCACATAAACTACGTGCTGGTCAAGAAAAAACAACCTGTAGTATGTGAAACGTGCCCAGATGGAGACACAACTTCCAACAAACTTGTTTTAATAAGTTAAGTGCAAATTTTAAAAAGCTTTCATGACTTTTGTAAATGTAAAGATATACTATGCAGGGTTGACAATTACTGTATTTAAACATGCTCACCAGCTAAAGTACAAGTCAACCTCAGCCTCACTATATTTACGATTTTATCCGCACTTTGTCTCTTGGATGCCTGCTGCTTACAATCTGGATCTTCTAATGAAGCCCCAGCCTTACATGAGTGCTGGGGGAACACGCTCATCAATGTCCCAAACACCTGCCTGCTACTGTTGCTACTTTCTCTACAAGCTGCATTGCAACCTGTCTCCACCCCAGCTCCTCCTTTTCATGTTGTATCTGACTTAGCAATGTCATTTCTGCTTGTCATTGATGCTGGCTCTGTTCTGTTCCCACGGGGCTTTGCTGCTGCTCTCCCTGCCTTAGGCTTTCCATGTAGGTGCATGGAAGGGCAGGGAGGTCTGCTCTCCGCCTTAGGCTTTCCTCGTTTGCATGTGGAAGGGCAGAGAGGTGTGCTCTCTCCGCCTTATGGCTTTCCACGCAGGTACGTAGAAGGGCGGAGAGGTATGCTCTCTCTGCCTTGCTTTCTGCATAGGCCCCAAGGAAGGGCAGAGAGGCCCCAGAACAGAGCCATATCACCAAATATAATACTGCAAATGGAAATAAAGTTTTATTTGACTTAAGTGTTCCTTACTGAAATAAGAAAATACAGGCAGAGGGCAGAGTCTCTGCAGAAAAACACACCTCCACACACTTCTAATGGGTCATAAGTGATGATACGGATTACCTCCCTAAGAGTCTACGAATTGTTTTGTTTAAGGAAAATCCTGCATAGTATACCTTTTATTTATAATAAGTCTCTTGTTAAAATGGCAATACATTTGGTGAAGTGCACATTATGACTTGTCAGGGACTCAAAAAACGTTAGGACTTGGGATCTACCTGTCTCAATTTGGGACTTGGCTGCAAATACTTGAGACTTACTTGTGGCATGGTTCCACCCTGTCAGTAAGTAACAAACCCTCTAAAAACAGGCTGTGATCTGGTTGTCTTTGTGACCGCAGCGCTAACAATAATACCACTTAAAAACACTGGGGGGAAAAAGTTGTCTGTTTCCACTTTAACAGAGACCTTTGAACCCTTTTGTGAATATCTGAGTCCAAAACCTGACACTGTTCTGCAGCTGAAGGGCGGCCCTGCTCTTCATTGGGTGCCTTACTTTTGAGTGTCGCATCATCTACCTCTAGCAGCTCTCAGCAGTAGTTAGTCAGCCCACATGCATGAATCAACACTGTAGAAAAACTCTCACTCTTACAAAACGCTGCGAGTGAACACATTCATGAGCAAAAAGAAAAACAATCCAAGTGTACACAAGTTGAAACACCATGCAAGCCTTGGCTGAGGGAAATGTGACAATTTATAAAAAAGAAAAAATCGAAACACTGAGCAAATCAAATGAGCTTCAAAAAGGATTCCTCTGATGTATTATTATTACCTGTACCACATACACAACATGATTATAGTCCTAATAGCTATGCGCAGTTCAGTAAATATAACACAGGGGTATGAGGAGCTTCAAAAATGGGATTTAGAAGTCTGAGGGAGTTAATAAAAGGAAGATGAGATAGATTTATTGGCAACTCCTCCACAATTCAGTAAGCGTTTCAAGGCTTCCATGTTTATAATGGCGTATATAAATGTTATGTAGAGGCATCGAGAAGCCGTTTACCTGTCATGGCGGGATAATCAGTCTTCTCCCTCCCCTCAGCAGCAAAGCACTAGAACGTTTGTTCAGTTCACATTTTTATTAAAAAGTATCCATGTGGTGGTGAGGACAGCTTTCATTCACCTCACAGGAAATTAAAAAGAAGAAGAAGAAAAAAAAAAATCAGACTAAATCCTGGCCTGAAGTTCAGGGTCACCTTCTTCATCCTGGATTCTCTCCTGAGACCTTCTGCCATGAACTCTCACTGCGTCTAAAATACAAACAAGGAATCTTTTGTGAAGGATCAACTTCTTATTGTAAACTCTAAAATGTGTCGTACCTCTGTGATACCACAGGAACATGGTGAAAACCTGGCTGCAGCCTCTGTACCGACCTGTCCCTGCTGGGGAGTGGCTGGCTGGCCAGGAGCCTGTCCTGTCTGTCCATAGTATGCAGCCTGCTGTCTGTAGTACTCCGCCCAGGCTGCACTGTAGTCCGGCTGACCCCCTGTTGTTGATGATGTGCCCCCGGCTGCTCCTGGGGCTGCAGGTGCTGTCCCGGGGACAGAGCCACCTACCTGGGCTGGAGGTGACAGACAAAACAGACATGACCCTACACACTACTGCTTTCACTTCGACTTTAAGACAAGTGCCTGACCTCACGTTTTCCAGGTGGTCAAAGACGCGGCATGTGTATGGCCTCTAATTTCCAGGGCTGGTACCTGCGGTTATTCCACAGGCTAGTTAATAACATGTCAGGCAGGAAATCCAAAGTGTGGGATCATTTTGAGAAGGTGAAGGACGAACCCAAGGTGATATGTAAACTCATCTTCATTGGTCGACTACAAACATGACGTATCATCTGAAACATGGAAGTAGCTACATGCCCATTAGCCACTTAGCACAATCATTACTGCTTTGCCGACAGCGTCATTAACAGGCGGCTCACTCAGTGTGTGACGTGCACTTGTAGATAAAATATAGGCCTATATTAATGAAGGTTCATTAGTACGGTTTTGTATTTCTCTGTAATGTAGCACAGTGTTAACAATGTTACTGATACTATTCTTTCTCACACCTTCAACTCAAACCATTGTGTTGCCCCGCCCAAAATATATAATTCAATAATTAAATTAATATCGTAAACATTTGAGCAACTAGTTGACTAATGGCCCTAAATGACAACTATTGGTCGACTAGGAAAATTCTTGGTCGGGGGCAGCCCCTACCGTGCAGTAACTCACAGCCTCAAGTTATTTTAATGAGTGGAAGGCAGCAGAGGGGACGCGGTTTCCAACACGGTGGTGGGGGTATGAAGCGGTTGCCACCCACGTGAACAGACACAGATTTTGCTCCACTATGCAGAGTTCATGGTATTGAACTTCTGACGGTAGCCACCTGACTTTCCAGGGTTTCCCCACACACTCACTCGCCACAAATAAACCTAACATTTGTTAGTTAACAGCAGGTAAAGTTACAGATGGTGTCTCACCCATCTTCTTGTAGTACTCCTCCCAGGCCTTGGTGTAGTCCGGCTGGCCCCCCGGCGTCTGTGCGGGCTGAGTCTGGTCCCCTGACACTTGGGCACCTCCAGGTGGGTTAGCAGGGTACTGGGCTGGCACAGCCCCCGACGGCTGCTGGTAGTACTGAGCATAGTAGGCGGCCCAGGCTGCGTTGGGATCATTGGCTGCTGCCTTGCCTAGAAAAGACGCAGGGTGGAGGGGGTGAGGTCCTCATAGGGTGAGGGTGAGCCCCTGCTACTGGCCTGGAGACCGGGCTTGGAGACCAGGGGGGAAACAGAGACAGGGTTAGCCAGAGCTGCTTTAAGTGAAGACAGTGCATCTAATCACAACATTTCCATCAGTACTCCTGCTGACCTTCACAGATTTAGAAAAAAATGGCATTACTCATCTGAAATGACTGGGAGCGTATAAAACCTACAGCCTGGGATGAAAGTACTGTCGTGGGATGTGAACATGCTAAGATGAGCAAAAATAAACATTGATCCCAGAAAACCAGGCGAGGCAGTGAGGTCAAAGGTGACTCACTGGGGTCGTGGGGTGCCTGGGGTTGCCACTGCTGGTAGGTGTTGCTCCAGCCCTGAGGGGTGTACTGGTGAGGACCTGGAGGACCACCGCTGAGGAGAAAAAAAAACGGTTTAAGATCAAAAACCTCTCATTCAACATCCTGATATGATGAGAAAATTGATCTTCTTAAAGGGACAGTTATCCCAAAATACAAACTACATATTTTCCCTTTTACCTGTAGAGCTATTTATCAATCTGGATTGTTTCGGTGTGAGTTGCAGAGTGTCATGACGATGAGATGGCACTTTGAGCACCACAAGCTGAGTGCTATCTATTTCCATTATACTGGAGAGAAGGCAGACATCTCTATAGCTAACACCCAGCAACTCACAACAAAATAATCTAGTTTGATTTTGGGGGTGAACTGTCCCTTTAAATGTGACTGTAAAGCAACACAAACAGCTGCACATTAGTTGTAGCAACTCACTGTGGTGGTCCAGGTGCCCCAGGCGGTCCGGGGTTGTATGGGTTGGGGTTGTAGGGACCCATTGGACCAGCAGGACCTGGTCCACCTGGCCCCGGGCCCACAGGACACAGAGGACCCTGTAAGACATGATATAATCACATATCAAATGAAGAAAAAGAAAAAAGGTGTCAGTTTTCCTACATGTAACTAAAAAACAATCTTGCTACATACCTCAATCTTCTCCTCAATGAGCTGCTTGGCGTGGTCGATCTGTTGCGGTGAGCCCCGAATGATAAACAGCTTGAAGTTGGGGTCTCCGTTGGGAGGTGGCTGTCGAGAGATTTCCACAAAGGCCCCTGTCTGCTGGTTAATGGACTTGACGTTCTCCCCTCCCCGGCCAATCACAAGTCCGCACTTGTGGGCAGGAATAGAGAAAGTCATTTCCCCTCCAGGGGGCCCCCAGCTGCCTTGTCCCCCACCTCGGCCCCTGTTGCCTGCAGGCATGCCTGGAGGACCTGGGGGACCCTGTGGATGGAAGAGAGAGAACACCTCAGTGCTATGTCTATATATAGCATGATACTTCATCTTACTGCTGATGCAAACACTATGCGGAGAAGCTACAAAATTTGCCCCAGGCCTGCTGCCACACACTGTTCTCCACAACCAGATAAGATGATACTGTGCTACACTCTAGCGATTATGTCTACTGATTTATGAGTGAACATATGCATGCTTTAGACATTTTGACACCCCATGCATATGTAAGAAAGAGTGATCCATACCCCCTGTCCTTCCTCCCTGACCCTGATGCTCTGCAGCAGGTCATTGATGATCTGGGCAGCGTGCTCGCAGCGTTCAGGAGGACCACTGATGTGGGCGATCTTATCTGGACCAGTCCCGTCATCTGTAAGAAAGATTAAAATCTGCTGTATTATTATACAGCAGATACAGCTATAGTTTTGATATTTTGAATCATGTTACTTATAGTATTGAGAATCAACACCAAACCCTGTAACTCCAGACCTCACACATGCCAAGTGTAGGCTATCTGCTTATAGTGGTGACAAATCACTCAGTTCAACACATTGAAGAAGTCATGTCTGCCCTTGACACTAGGGGTTCATCCCAATATCCCTCCTCAACTCCTCTATCCTCGATCACTTGACCCAGAAATCGATTTACACCCCCCATCTTGAAGGACGTCTCAATTCGTTATATGCGCTTGGATGAGTCAAGGAGTCGAGGAAGCTTTCAGAGGAGAGGGAAGAGAGGATAAACAAGTGCAGCCTTCGCGGAAGTCTTTTACTGACCGACACTCCCCCCTGATTGGATATAAGTTATTGATTGGACAGCACAGCGCTGCAGCTGAAACATTTAGCCTTATAAATCATTTCCAGTGTTTAAAAGACACCATCATCATATTCTGGGTTACTGAGTAATGAACTCACAGTCAGAATATCAATATATACAAATGCATATAATGAATAAAAAATACAAAGGCATTCTGTAACTCCAAACAGGGCACAGTAAAATATAGAATGAAATGCAGGTTGTTCTTCATGTGCAGGTGTTTGTTAACAGAGACAAAAGACTGCTGCCCTGCTACTGAGAGCTGTATCTGTATCTTTATCATTATATATTTATATATAAAAATTTTATGTGCAGACACAAACTCCATTAAGTTTCTATAGCTGTTAATAAAGCTGTAATCATCTGCTGCTGTCATCACAAATGGATATCGCTTCATGTGATGTTTCAGAGGAAAAGACTTGTCATTTCTCTTGAGGCATATTTCTTTATTTCTTCTCTCCTTGCATCTCTCCCCCGTGTCTGACAAGGGCGGAGCTAAGACGCGAGGAAGAGACACAAGTGAGGGAAACATGGATGCGAGATGAGGTATTGGGATGAACCCAATATTTGTGTAGACATACCACTCGAAGGTAAAAAAGAGAACATTTGCTCTGCACACACAAACTCGTGTGTAAAGGCATTCACATATTTGGAGAACTTCCACCAAAATGAGACTTAACAGTGTATTCAGCTACCTGTAAATTTAAAAAAACTGATAACACGGTTAACACTGGTGTTTGGTATCTTTAATTTACACTAATCATTTGGTAAAAGACAAAAAAAAAGTCTATAAAAGAAGGACAAAATCTTCAATTAGGATAGTGTCATTTAAATCCACTTTTTATGAATTTGCTAACTGTTTCAGTTGGTGACATACAGGGATGCACTAATTTATCATTTGAGCATAGGTATTGGCGGATATCTACCTCATTAAGTCAGTCTATCAGCAAATAAGACAACACTTAATGATGACAGTGGCTCATGTTTTTCTGCTGTGTCACATCAATTTTAGCATAGGTAAAAAAGCAGGGCTCAAGACTAATGGCGTCCTGTCGTCCAGGGGACAGCAGAAAACATGTCTGGTACAGAGATCTGGTACAGAGACACCTCTGGCTTCAGACATTAAACTTTCAAGTCTGGACACTAATGAGAACCCAAATGTGCTGTTCATGCAAAATATTACATCAAGAAACGAGGAAAATGTGTGAATGCACCCATTAAAAAAGACACAGGGGTCCGACCTTGTTTGAACTGTATCCTAACTCCAGCATCGTTCTGGATTTTCTTGATCATCTCTCCGTTTCGCCCGATGACCACACCGACTGAGTGTCTCTGTACGGGGATCTAAGTGGGAAACAGAAGTTTTTTATAGACTTGGTTTTGGTTCAAAGACAACTAACCCCACCACTAATCCCCCTCCACACACACACACACACACACACACACTCACATCCATGCCTCCCCCCATTCGGGAACCGAAGTCATTTCTTTCACTGAAGCCACCGTGGTCTCTCTCCCTCAGAATCTCCTGTACCATCTCCTGGGCTTGCTGAAAGGTAGGAAAGGAACACATTATGATTACAGCACGTGGCAACTCAGCAACACACATTTATGTTGAACTTGACATGATTTTTATGAATGCACCTGGACTTTGTAGGGATCGCCTATAATGCGCAGGGGCTTGTCGACATTGGGTCCCTGAGAGGCGTCCTGGATCAGGATCATCTTCACACCTGCACGTTCCTGAAATGTTCCACAGTCAAAGATTATGGTAATGTGCATCTTTGTGATTGACTCTACTGCAGCATAAAAATCAATAGGTTCCTGGCTCTATTCATAAAACATTTTCATATACAAAACTCAAGGTACCACACTGCAACATTCCAATACCTGAAGCTGTTTGATGGTCTCTCCACCCTTTCCAATGACTAGCCCAGCCTTGCCAGCTGGTATCATCATCTCATGCACCGTGCCGTTCTGCCCGTTGGTGGACTCGTGATAGGAAGAAGGGGGTGTGCCCCTCCCTCGTGACACTATCTCATCCAACAGCCTTTTGGCATTCCTACAAAAGGAAGATGTTACGCATCATAAATTTCACAAACTCATGTAATGAAGCTGATAAAATGGAAAGTGACACAGAGCGATTCAGCAATAGGTCATGAGAGAACGAGGCTTCAAACAGAGTGAATCGGTATTTAGAATTTTTTTTATTATGCTAAACATCACACCAAAAAATCTGATATATTCTCGCCAACAGTTTGCAAGGCCGGGGTAGAGAAGCATGCCCAAAAGAAAAGCCCACACTTCTAGTCGGAAGGAGAAACACGGCTACTTTTAACATCATGAAAGACTTGGACATAGACAGGTTTTAAATATCGCAACAACCTTTTCAAGAAGATGGTTAGAAGAATAAAAAAGGGAGGCTGTGTTTACACGGTCCAACAAGTCCACCTCCGGTTGAAAACTTTTTTAAAAAAGAAGCGAATTGACAAGCGGCTCCAGCTGTTCCACTAAATGACATGCCACAGCATGTTAATCTGAGTATGCACAGCTGCATGTAAACAGCAATATTAGTGGAATATTCATATTTTTATCAGCCATATAAACAGTTTCTTTTTTGGAATGAGGGCGAAACCTGGAATATTTTAACCTGTTTCTAGAAAGTCTAATACTCACTCTATGGAGTCTTGGGAACCTGTGAGAGACACGCTCCTGTTTGGAAGCCCTCCGCTGTCTGGACACACACACATAGAGTACATATGTATCATAAGAGTTTAAGCCAAAAGGGAAATAATGTCATAAACTATAATGAAAACTGTGGCCATCTGTTTATCAGACAGTACCTGGAGCTATCTGAACCTTGCAGCCTGACTCCTGTTGAATCTTATTGATCTGTTCACCTCCACGGCCAATAACTGTGGATGAAGAGAGAGCAAACTGTGATGTTGGTGGGTCACACTCTCAATAGTGGCATCTGTTTTCTTGCCATATAATCGCAGACACAGTTCGGCATCAATATTTGCACTCACTGAGTCCCACCATGCTGTCTGGTACACTGTATTCCTCTGTGTTGGAGGTGGGTCTGACACCATCAGCAAGCGAGGAGGACAAAAAAGAGGCAACAAATCAGGCAGGAAACTTTATAATCACATTTTTTCCACAATCATGTTTTTCTCCACTGTAATGATACAAGGGCCGAAAACTTCTTCATAATACACGATCAACAGAAAGCTCTGAGTTCTCACCTTTGTTGTGCAAGAGCAGCTAGCTGGGCACCAATGGCTGAGATGGGACAACAACAGAAAACAGAGGTTGAAAAAACAGAGCATGGGAGAGGTTTTGGATTACGACGGACTGTGAGACACAGAGGAGGGGAAGCATGGACAGACAAGGGCAAATGGGCAAACTACTGGAACAGAAGTACTGTGCAGCTGGAAGTCTATATTAAATTGTGTCAGCTGTGAGTTATAAACATCACAACGCAAAAAGTAAACAGAACATAAAATAGCAGGATGAACTCACACAATGCATTGGCTGAATCCAAGTCACTCTGTGCAGCCAGCTTCTTGCTTTCGGGTTCATCTGTCAGGTGAGGAAACCAGAGATATCTACTATAACTGTGTGTGTGTGTGTGTGTGTGTTGTGACATGTCTGTAAGCAGTATATCAAGGAGACTGCACACTGAGTACTGCCATCATACCTGCATCCTCTAGCTGTCGTTTCTGTGCAGTGAATGGAAAGCTATCTGCTGCAGTGTTGTTGTTCATGGGTGGTCCAGCGTCACCTCCGATCTTAGCTGCAATCTGAAACACAAGCGAAGAATTCATCATGACAACTGAGCTATCAACCTATCAACAAAAAGCCACTGTAATATAAATTAGAGTATTCCCACCTCCTCCTCAGTAACCTACCCATCTAGCTAGTAGTGCACCCAGCTCATCAACTACCACTACACCCCTGAATATACTTTATAATTAATACTGTACAGTGTGTATTCAGTACATATTAAAGTTCATATTATGGCCCTATCTTTTGTCTCTTATCAGTGCTTTTAGCTTTTCTATCTATCCACACTTAGCGGCCACTTTATTAGGTACACCTGTTCAACTGCTCGCTAAAGCAAGTAGCTAATCAGCCAATCACGTGGCAGCAGCTGAGTGTATGTAGGCATGTAGACATGGTCAAGACGACCTGCTGAAGTTCAAACTGAGCATCAGAATGGGGAAGAAATGTGAATTAAGTGACTTTGAACGTGGCATGATTGTTGGTGCCAGACGGGCTGGTCTGAGTATTTCAGAAACTACTGATCTACTGGGATTTTCACACACAACCATCTCTAGGGTTTACAGAAGATGGTCCCAAAAAGAGAAAATATTCAGTGAGCAGCAGTTCTCTGGGTGAAAATGCCTTGTTGATGCCAGAGGTCAGAGGAGAATGGTTCAAGATGATAGAAAGGCAACAGTAACAGTAACAGTAAGGTCTGCAGAAGACCAACTCTGAACCAACAACACGTCCAACCTTGAAGCAGATGGGCTACAGCAGCAGAAGACCACACCAGGTGCCACTCCTGTCAGCTAACAACAGGAAACTGAGGCTACAGTTCACACAGGCTCACCAAAACTGGATGATAGAAGATTGGAAAAAAGTTGCCTGGTCTGGTGAGTCTGGATTTCTGCTGCCACATTCAGATGGTAGGGTCAGAATTTGGTGTAAACAACATGAAAGCATGGATCCATCCTGCCTTGTATCAACGGTTCAGGCTGGTGGTGCTGGTGGTGGTGTAATGGTGTGGGGGATATTTTCTTGGCACACTTTGGGCCCCTTAGTACCAACTGAGCATGGTTTAAACACCACAGTCTACCTGAGTATTCTTGCTGACCGTGTCCATCCCTTTATGACCACAGTGTACCCATCTTCTGATGGCTACTTCCAGCAGGATAACGCACCATGTCACAAAGATCAAATCATCTCAAACTGGTTTCTTGAACATGACAATGAGTTCAATGCAGCAGACAAATCTGCAGCAACTGCGTGATGCTATCATGTCGATATGGACCAAAATCTCTGAGGAATGTTTTCAGCACCTTGTTGAATCTATGACACAAAGAATTAAGATCTGAAGGCAAAAGGGGTCCAACCTGGTACTAGTAAGGTGTACCTAATAAAATGGCTGGTGAGTGTATCTATGCATCTAGCCTGGGAGATCCACTGTTACAATATGGATATCATAGTGTAAGACGGTATGCAGTAGCTAATACATTCACCTGCTAGCTATCATACCTACATTATGTCTGTATCAACCACCCCACAGTTACTTTAAACATCTTCTGTTGGTAGTTACTGTCATACCCATAATGTCTTCTCCCAGCTCACACTGTGTTTGATGGGGCACGCGCACAGTATTTTAGCTAGCTAATGCACAACAAGCAGTGACATAACGAAACTAGCTTAGCTGTGCTATCACGAACAACCGTTAACCCGTAACTCTAACGTTAATTCAGAGTATACGTCCCCGTGTTATCTGTCAAGCTGTGTCAACAATGTTAGCCCTGAAGCTAACCAGCTAGCTAGCACTCCCTCCAGACATGCTGCTGCCCGTCACATCCCCTCCTCACCTGCCGGGCCCGCTGCACCGCGTCCGCGAACGCATCTTTCTTGATGCCTCCCGCTCCATTACCGAGAGCTGCCTGCCCGCCGAGAGGGGCTCCGGGTCCGGGTGGCGGCACCGCGTTGTACTCCGACATGTTGACCAGAAGACAGGCGTGGGTAAGGGTGGGAGAAGAAAACCAGGAGCTGCGCAGGAGTGGGAAGGAAAGTCAGAGAAACTAGCGGGTCAAGGAAAGCGCCGGAGACACGACGGCGGCCGGGAAGGTGTGTTCGCGTTTTTCTCTTTACTCCTCCATGCACTCTACTCTGTGTTATCATATCAAAGGGAGACACCCCAGGTAAGTAGGGTAAAAAATTAACTTCAAAGATATGCATTGTAAAATACATTTTAATATAATAAAACACTGGGGTAAAGTATTTTTTAACTAGTATAGTGCTTTTCTCACCAAAGTGCAAGCCAAACTCTCAAGGCGCCTGTATGTTTGCACAACAGCCTTTATAACGTGTGTCATCACACTTATCACGACATAAATATTTGTTTTTATTTACTAATATTAAAAAACAATTGACAACCAACTATTGTTGACAGCTAAATGCATTTTTAACTTTTTAAAATTACATCAAAGCACCAATAACAAATCCTAAATGGGGGATAATGTAAGATAATGTGATGTGTCACACAATTATAATCCCCACACACGAAGGGCAACAAATAGGTTCCCGTCAAGGTTTTATTAGATAAATTAAAACCCATTTTAAGGTAGAGTTTGCCTCTTTATTAGGAAATGGGTGTGCTCAGCATACTGATACAATTAATTACAGAATCATTCATAACTTCTGATATAGGCCCAGTTGAATATTGCAATAATAATGTGTGGTTATCACAAAATTTCAATTTGCATCAGGGCATCATTTGAGAACCACTGAAGTTGTAGATGTCACTATGAAACTTAAGTGATTATCCCCTACATAAATCCTAATATAACTCCACTGGCTTTACAAAGCACACCATATACTGTGAGCTAGTTGTTGCCTGATATTTATTAGATATTTAATGATGAGGACATGTTATTATCGGACATAATGAATCAAAACTGCAACTTGTGAATAGGATCAGACAGTGCCACAACATTACTGGACCCAATTTTGCGTGAAATTGGAATTTTCATCATCATTATTACAGATTGTTAGGTTGACATAAAAGCTATGCACATTCATATTCTAGCAACGCTAAATACACAGTTTGCACATTAGGAAGTAGGTCTGGAATGAAAGCTGTAAGAACAGGAAATGTAACTCACAGCATGTGATACCACTACACCCCCTCTGTCTGTCATAAGCATAGTTGAAGAACAGGCAGGGTGTGGCGTGTTACTTAAGACCTGCCTCTGTAACTGTTTGTGTTTCTTTTTTTAAGGTGGTGATTGGAGAAAGGAAAAAAAAGTATGCAACCACACAATAAGAAACAGATATGGCACTGTTGTTATTGTAATCTCTCATTTGAGAAGAATAAATAACGTAAAAGAAAATACAGACATTTCATCTACTATACACAATTCTCTCCTGCGCACAGATTGTCTCCACATTCTTCCTTCACCAGGTTAATATGTCACTTAGGTGCAGTTTGTTTAACCTGCTGCTACACAGTTTCCTCACATCCATGCACATCAAAATTCACACACAGTTCCCAACCCCCCCCCCCAAAAAAATCTAATGATTTAATAGTGCCATATCTGTATTTATTTGTGCAATGGCACACTTATTTCTTCTCTCCAAGCACCACCTTCAAAACTCTTCAAAATGGTTATAGAGGCAGGTCTAAAGTAACACGCCACACCCTACACGCTCTTCAACCATGTCCATGAAAAACAGAAGGGGGGGTGTAGTGGTGTCATGTGTTGTGAAAAGTCACACTTCCTGTCCTTATAGCTTATATTCCACACCTGCTTTCCCATGTGCAGACTATAGATCTGGTGTTGCTGCAGACTGTTGTTAATTTGGTCGGGATTATTATCAGTAGAGGATCCCAGTGAGTGCAGAGAAGTCAACAGCATCGATGGAAGTTGACGTACATGCTGTGTCCACCTGTGGTAAGTTGACTCCTGTTCATAAACCTTGAGCAACAATTCTCTCCTGCAACAGTGTTTATTTCATTGATTTTCCACAGGAGTAATGTATGTAGGTGTCTAAATGAAGCTATTTTTTTGCCTCTGTTTCTGCTCAGGCTTTAAAATTCATTTTAAAACAAATGTCATGTATTTCATCTGATCTAACTTTACAGAATAAAAAGTTCTGCTTCTCTGAGTTAACATCATCTGTATGTTGCTGTAAGTCAGTGGAATCAGGTCAGTGGTTTGTGAGGCTTCAGGCTGAAATAAAAGATTTAATCACAGCAGCATCCTGACATCAGATATCTTTCTTTGTGTTAGTGTATATAAGGTTGCATGGACATTGTTGTTTTTATTCATACGCTGAGTTGCCAGTTTAGTAGATACACCCTACTAAAATGAATGCAGTCTAATACAACAGCCCTGCAATAAATTTGACCCACGTCCCCGTACAGGCACACATCCTCATTAGTGATTAATTACCAGGCGGATCAGTCAATCAGTTGATTCTACATAAAGGACAATTTCCTAGTTTTATATTGTCAAGATCTTAGGTTTTGTCAGTTTCTTTCCTGTTTTGTTCTGAAAGTTGCTCCTTATGTGTCACATGTGTTTCTTCATACCTTTGTCTGTTTCCCTCCCATACCTGATTTCTATCAGTTTTGTTTGTCCTTTTCTGTTTCCAGATTTTTCCCTGCACATCTGTCTTGTTTGCTTAATGGTCTCAGTGTAACACCAAGTCAGTTAAACTTCAGGGATATCAATCTGTCCATTTAGGAAGCACAAGTGATTGTGAATCAGTTTCACCTGCTTTGGTGCAAATCAAAGTAACAACAGGTGCAATGGAGAGGCAAAACCAAGACAACCTCCAAAAGGGGAATGGTTTTACATGTGGTGACCACAGACAGCTGCTCTCTCCTTATCCTTCTTCTCTAGTTTTGTGTTCTGCCAGTGTCCTTGTCACTGCTGGTAGCATGAGGCAGTTCCTGCAGCCCAGTCAGGTTGCACAGGTAGTCCAGCTACTCCAGGATGGCACATCCATATGTACAGTTGCAAGAAGGTTTGCTGTGTCTCCCAGCACAGTCTCAAGAGCACGGAGGAGACACCAGGAGACCGGCCATTACATGAGGAGAGCTGGACAGGGCCGTGGAAGGGCATCAACCCAGCAGCAGGACCAGTAAATGTTCCTTTGTGTGAGGAGGAACAGGAGGAGCGTTGACCTCTAGCAGGCTACTGGTGTGCATGTTTCTAACCATACTGTCAGAAACAGACTCCATGAGGGTAGCATGAGGGCCCCACATCCTCTAGTGAGACCTGTGCTCACAGCCCAGCACTGTGCAGCTTGACTGGAATTCACCAGAGAACACCAGATTTGACAGGTCCACCATTGGCGCCACGTTCTCTTCACAGATGAGAGCAGGATCAAACTGAGCAAATGTGACAGGTGTGAAAGAGTCTGGAGACACGGTGGTGAACGTTAGGCTGCCTGTAACATCATCCAGCATGACTGGATTGGCAGAGGGTCAGTGATGGTCTGGGGAGGCATATCCTTGGAGCGCCGCACAGACCTCCATTTCATAGCCAACGGTACTTTGACTGCTGTTAGGTACCAGGATGAAATCCTCAGAGTGACTGTCAGACCTGCTGCAGGACAATGCCCGGCGTCATGTGGCCAGAGTGTGTAGGCAGTTCCTGGATGATGAAGGCATTGATGCCACTGATTGGCCCTCTTGTTCCCCTGACCTGAATCCAACTGAGCACCTATGGGATGTTATGTATCGGTGCATCCAACACCGCCATCCAGATGTTGTCAGGAGTGCATATAGGCATGCAGGGGTTGTACACACCATGATGGATTGTTTTGCTGAATTCATCCCTGTGTTCATCGTGACATAGAAGTTTTGGTTCTTCTTTCTTTTGTACTTTGTTCCTCATTCTGTCAGCCTATTAAATCAGAGTATGACTTTTAAGTAGCCTCAGTGCACCTGGGTGAAACACTGAGTGTAATAGGAATGATTAATTTGTTGTAATCTCTGATGTGATTTGTAGCATTTGTAGTATGGTTGTATTGTTCAGTTAAATGTTGGTTTGTATTTCTGTCTATTTATGTGAAACAGTCGACGTCCTCGGACACAAATTTCAGATTTTTTTTTAAGTAATACTGCCTCCCTCTTCCAGGGCAAAGTCGGCACCCTTCAGAGTTGAGGATTGTGTTGATAGGTGGAAGAGAACTAAACGGTGGCCCCAGTAACAAGAGTGAAGCCGGCAACATCATACTGGGTCAAAGTGTTTTTGACACCAGCAGAAGAACTGCCCAGAGTGTTGCCAGGCAGCAGGAGGTACATGGAAGACACGTCACTGTGGTTGACACTCCAGGCTGGTGGTGGCACTACCCACAAGAAAACACCCCAATGCTGGATCAGATAGAAATCAGGAACAGCGTCCACCTGTGTCCTCCGGGCCCTCACGCCTTTCTTCTAGTCATTCCTGTTGATTTAACATTTCCTGAGATCTTCAGACCATCACTAGAGGAGCACCTGAAACTTTTCCCTGAAAGACTGTTGGATCACACCATCGTGCTGTTTACTGTGGATGCTCCATTCAGTGATAAAGATTTAGAATATGAAATCAGTCTGTGGCCAGCACTTCAGTGGATCCTTAAACAATGTGGAAAGCGAAAGCATATTCTGAACATCAGCGACAGGCAGGATAGCACTCAGGTCATAGTGCTGTTCAAGAAAATAGAGGCACTGATTGCAGAAAATGCTGGCAGTCACTGTTCTACTGATAGTGCTGATGGAAATGCTCTAAAGGAGAAAAAGGAAGCAGTGATTGAAAGAGCATCAAAGAGGTTTGCTGAGGTGCAGACCAAAAGAAGGGAACTGAGAGCACTGATTGAAGGTGAGTGTCAAACTTTTTTGCAGATCCTGATTTTGATATTTTGGGGTTTCAAAAAATTTGATAATGACATATCGAGCATACTTTTTTAACAGCGTAAACACATATCATTAACTTCAGCTTTGATTCGGATTCCTTAAAGGTTCTATACATGAGATTTGAACATGAAAATAGCAGCAAACACCGATTTGCTATGTAAAGATACAGTGGAGAAATGGTTCTTGAGCAATGAATGAAGTCAAACTCCCTTTGTGTGTCTCGTCATCTGAATTTTTCCTGTTCTTCAGCGGCCACATATGTTGCAGTGTTTTTGAGTCTTTACTACACTGTGCTCATACAGCAATGACCGCTGATAATGCCGTCCCGATGCTGTGGAAGCAAAACGTCCACCCTGCAGTTCCCTCCCAGGTTAACACTGTTAGCGCTGTTAGCACTGTTAGTGCAGCTAGCAGTACTAGCCGCAGCAAATTTGGCTCAGCCACCTCCATGTTTGCTTGTGACGTCAGAGGTGAGAGTCATGTGCAGGCATTCCTGGCCCAGACTCTGAATGTGGCAGGCAATATATCACCTTTAAATTAAGTATGTTTTCTTCAGACTAGAATAAAACCTTACCTTAAATAAAGTCAACATTACAACACAAATAACTTCAGATACAGCCGCAAAGATTACGTAAAGCTCTTTTACCCACCAAGAACTTTGTGACTTACTCCACTTAAACACCTTCTTATTTATTTAGTTGTGAGTTTCAAAAGGAAAAGCTTCTTAGCTGACCTGACAAATATCATTACGATGCACAAAACTACACGCATGAATATTTGTTGGTTCCACTTCCTGCACAGGTGGCAAAGCCCCCCCGACACATTTAAGGATGGTGATGGTTGGAGCACAGTGGTCAGCCAAGAGCTCAGCAGGTAACACCATCCTGAGAAGAAATGCATTTGCTGTTCGTCACAGAAGAACAACAGAGAAGTGTGAGATCAGCCACAGCATGGTGGCAGGCAGGCAGCTCACAATAATAGATTCTCCCGGCTGGTTCTACAACAACACCCTTCAGGACCTCTGTGAGATGGATAAACTTGAAATAGAGAACAGCGTGCACCTGTGCCCTCCTGGACCCCACGCGGTGCTCCTCGTGGTCGGCCTGGCATCTGCGTTCAACGCATCATACCAGAGAGGAGTCCAGGAGCACATGAGTCTGTTCACAGATGAAATCTGGAAGCACACGATTGTTCTATTCACTCGAGGTGACTGGCTGGGAGTGAAGACTGTGGAGGAGCGTATAGAGAGTGAGGAAGGTCTGCAGTGGCTCATGGAAAAGTGTGGGAACATGTATCATGTCCTGGACAACACGAAAAAATGTGATGAGACGCAGGTAACGGAGCTCCTCGAGAAAGTTGAAGAGATGTGGGCAGGGAACAAGGATCCTCATTATGAAGTCGACCTGGGCCGTGCAGAGCAGATTGAGGCAAGGAAAGAGGCTAGAGACAAGATGGCAAAAAGGATTTGGCGGACAACCCAAAGACAAACAAGAATACTGAAAGAGTTGTTCAGAGGTAATCAAAAAGTGATCATATAAGTTAGGATTCATTTTGTCATTATCACTATTCATAAATAAAAGCTTAACATGTTTTCCAGGGGAGAAGCAGGCAATCACTGACAAGAGGGTTGTACTTCTTGGCAGAAAAGAGTCGGGGAAGAGTATGGCAGGAAACAGGATCCTTTTTGAAGAGCTGTTTGGTACTGCTTGGATGAAGAAGGTAACCTGATACACTGCTTAAACTAATATGTTATAGGAAAAGGTTTTGGTAGGATTTGATTTGACAAATCTGTTTGTCCCCTTTACGTAGGAATTCAAAGATCAGCGTAGACCCATGACGTGTGTAAAACATGAAACAACCGTTGCAGGAGTCAACATCTCAGTCGTTGAGGCACCAGGCTGGTTTACAGACGTGAGCACACCCGACTGGCTCAAGAGTGAAGTTAGGCGCAGCGTCTCCATGTGTGCTCCAGGCCCTCATGCTTTTTTCTTGGTGGTTCCCATCTCCAAGGCCTTTACAGAGATTGACTACAAAGCAGCGGTTGAGCTCTTGATGCCATTCGGTGAGAGAGTCTGGAGACACTGCATGGTGCTGTTCACCTGGGGAGACTGGCTCAACAACAGGTTCATTGAGGAGCACATTGCTGCAGAGGGCAGAGCCCTGAAGCGGCTTGTGGAGAAGTGTGGATACAGATACCATGTTCTCAACTGCAATCGTTTCAGCGATGGTTTTCCAGTCATTGCACTCTTTGAGAAAGTTTTTGACATGATAATACGAAACAAGGACAACTATGTCGTTGCTGAAGTACCTGGGAAAAAGCAGAAACTAATGCTGTCCTGGCAGGAGTCCTGGCAGGAGGAGTGGAACAAGAGGGAGCAGGAGCTGATAGACCGGATGTTGAGAGCTGTAGCACAAGAACGCGATGAAGAAACAGAACCATCTGTGATGATGGCAGCCAGCATCGATGGAGCCTTCACTCCAAGCAGTGAGTTTGATATTCCTCCATTAATCTAGAATAATGTGCATTGCTGTCGTGACTTATCATTCAACCTCTGTTTTCAGTGAGCGAAGGTCTTCCCTCAGAAGTTGGGAGCACATTTTGGAGCGACAGAGCACGTGCCAGGGTGTCTGAATGGCTGAGCTTTAGAGCTGGGCACTCTGACGTCACCTCTGGGGTTGGCAGCATGAGTGCCTCGGCAAGTTATGTGGAGAAGTTGGATGAAAGCATTCTGACAGACGACGATCAACAACCGATGTTTTTCCCAGAAAAAGACAAAATGAAGTTGGACACTGCTCTCCGTGGCATGGCCTCCACACAAGCTGTAGGAGCTCGGCGCAGGCACTCCCTTTAATCGATTAACTGCGAAAATATTGTCTGATTAATCAATTATAAAAATAATTTGTAGTTGCAGTTGTGATTAAATAAGAAAACATAGGCTGTTACTAATTCTATGTAGACTGACCACATATTACTGAAAACAAATCTTCAGTCAAGTTTTATTGCTTTCACTGAAGGCTAAATACCAGTGATAAAATGTAACTAATTACATTTACTCAAATACTGTAGCTACAATTATGAGGTGGCCTACAAGTATATCCATTTTATAGGTTACATTTATACATATGCATTTTGGAAGCCAATATTTTGCTCTTCACTCTACTACGTTTATTTGACAATTGGAGTCACTAGTTACTTTGTAGATTCAGATGATTAATACTAAATATAAATCATTTCATAAATGATGATATTATTATAGATTAAGCAACCCAGTAGTTTGTAGAATAACTGAAATGATCTCTACCTTTACCAGCTGCAACATTAGTGATACTACTCACACATGTATAATTCTAAAATGGGCCATTTTGCATAATGAGTACTCTTTGCAGATATTTTGATGTGAATACTTGTGTAGGCTGCTTTTACGTGAGTGTGATTTTGAATACAGGACTTAGAAGTGTTTTTACTCTGTGGTGTTGTTAATTTTACTTAAGTAAAAGCTTCAAGTAGGCCTACGTCTTCCACCACAGATATAATGACAAGGTTTTTTATGTGTATGATTACTAGTATAATTTAGACAATCTTTGGAAAAAAAAAACACCTCAGAAAATCATAAACTTATTCTAAGATCAGTAATGCCTATGTATTTGTTGCCCAACAAAATCAAAGTAATGTTATTTGTTTATTCAGTGTGTAGGTTACATGTGACAACGTTCTGAGCCTTTTTTTCAGCTGGATCTTCAAACATATCTTGGTGAGGACATTTTTACGTCAAATATGATTTATCAAAATTCAATAATGCTATTTTTCTTGCAATGAACAATCGGTATGTCAAGAATTTGCTTATTATTTTAGCCAAATTTTACATTCATAAAATAAAATTCTTGAAAAAGTTATCATCTATTTTATATTACGTCATTAAATACCATTGAAATACTGTTAATATACTGTTGAAATACCGCTGAACTTCACTCTTATACCATAAAACTTCAATTAAAAGCCTGTCTCACTTAGACGCCTGGTCTGGTTGCCATGCAGTTCTTTTTTTTTTTCAATAAAACAATGGCTTTAATAAAAGTTTGATTATTTTCAGCACTGTAAATTCCTTCATGTTACTTCTTATTACAAAAGACAAACAATCACCTGGTTTAAACTCATGGTTTAAACACAAGGGGCACTGATGGTTACTATTATAAAGGTGGTATTCATTTCAAAACTTATTTTGTGTATCTATCTTAAAAAACTAAAAGTTTACACGTTTTTTTAAAATATTTTTTTCTTGAAAGCCATTTGATAACTGATAACACTGATAGTTTCGTCACTATGTATCAGATTGTCTTTAATATTTAATTACATCTTGTTACAATTAGTTGTAAAAGTGCAAAGGATGCCAATTTAAAGCCAAGACCTTAAGCTTTTATTTAATGTAGGAATGACTATTGAAAGATGTTTCAATGATGAGTAATTCACACAAGAGTAAAAAGTGTGACGGTCTCCCCTATGCTATTTTTATTTTTAATATTTTCTTTTCTCCTTTTTTATGTAATTAAACTAAACTTCATTTTCTTTCCCTGGAGCCTTTTGTTCTGATTACAAAATGTATTGTTGAAAAATGTTTTTCAATATGTAAAGAAAGCAATAATCGGCGCAGCCAGCAGAGGTAGCTGTCACTTTTCCCTCTCCATTAACCGCCCCGCCACACGCCATCTTTGTTATGGGCTTACTGCGTCACCAGATGGCGAGGGCATTTTCTCTCCTGCGATTGGCTGAAGCCAGTCATGCCAAAGGTCGCGTATATTTGGCGCTCTTCGTTCAGGACCGGGCTGGCGCGTTTTTGAAAGAGCAAGAGACGTCAAGAAACATGTATTTTGTATTCCTACTCAGACGAACAATTCGGGAAATATCAGTTTAACGGTTTCCACTTCGCGTTCACACACCTGTGGCGGACATGTTGGGAATGTACGGAGCACTTCTGGGACTTGTGAGGAGCGAAGCTGCGACGAGAGTAGCATCTACCGACGTCTGCTAGCTTGTTGTTTTACGGTGAAATTTATATGTGTGGTGGCAACACACAGAGCTGTCCGCCTCACACAATGAACTTTGCCTCTGTTGTTCACTCACAAACACGGGGAAGTGAATAAGAAACGGAAAGAAGACGGTCTAAGAAGTTGCAGCAAGTTACCTGGTCGGTTTTATCGGTGAGTGTTTTCCTGACCTTTGTTTTCCTGGCGTCTGTGATATGGCACAAAACTAGAGGGGCTACAGGACGCCATGTCAGGGATGATATTACTTTCATGTTGCTGCCTTTGACCCCTTTATGACATTATTTAGATATTCACTACACAATATACTATGTTGTGCTGACTTTGCCTCACCAGAACTCCTAACTTCCTGCATAGTGTGGCATTAAAGCTGCTTCACAAATACTCTTTGTCTTATGCAGGGCTGTTTACTGTTTACAGTGTCACCAGTGTCCCATATGGTGGTTGGCTTTGAGTAAAGTATAGTTAATATCTTTTGAATTGTGCAGCACATTTGTTTGTACACATATCTACATGACTGATGGGAATTTGTCTCAGTGAGCACACTTAAATAAAGATAAAAATGTAAAACCACTCCCTCACAGAGCACATGATACATAAACACAGCAAATAAGACAGATGTTAATGTCCATACCCATAAAACAATAGGTAAAATAAAGTCAGACTCACAAGGGCACCATAGATACACTAGCACCTGTAGGGAAGTAACAGCAACAACCCACTAGATCAAGGGTGTCAAACATACAGACAGTGGGCCAAAACTGGCCCTCCAAAGGGTCCACTCTGGCCCACTGGATGACCCTCTATGTCACCGGTGGATGTCTGCGTTGTGTAGATATAAAGAGGCTCAGACCGTGGATATCTTCTGAAGCAATCTCCCTTAATTCCTCTCCTGACAGCAAGTGCCAAAAAACAAAATCCTCTGCTTTCCATGTGCAGTGTGCATAACAATGTTTGCTTTTGCTTTAGGTCACTTCACATTATGGCTGGTGTTGTGGCTATGGCATCTATCATTGAGGACTTTGACACCCAGGTATGTTTACGACACTGATTGTTGCATATAGCATATGCAAAGCTTTTACGAAATGTTTATTCATTCCTGCATTTTCATATTTGATTAACAGGATACTTAGCTGATTTTCAACCAGCTTTGTATCATAACAGTGTGCCTAAAATCTGTAAATGAACTCTGGAAAACTTTGCTCCATCTTACCAGTATGCAACATATATATAACATTAGAATCTGTGAACAAGAAACAGGTGCTGATCAAATCTAAATTACGATTCTGTTGCTGCAATACCTACAGAGCGCTCCAGGATGATGCAGAAGTTAGCTCCCCCCGGTTCCCTCATCAAAAAGCTTATGGGATTATTCCATTCGATTTTGGATAGTTGCAGAAAATAAAATGTTTAAATGTTTATATTACTTGCATGTTTTGTTTAGCAAGATCATCTTCACAAATGAACACCGCTTTTATGATTTTTGAAGCCCTAAATGCAATTGCCAGAAGTAAATACCTAATTTTAGGCTATAAACAAACTACACTGTGGTCACATGTCTTAATGTCGCCACCACAACGAGGCTGTGGCGGTGTGTTTGGTGTGATGACGTTCTGTAGTTTCATTTAGCAGCTTGTTAACAACTGCATTTTTTTAAGACACAGAAAAGCTTCAAAATGCAGATGTGGGATATCTACCGACATATTTAATATGGAAGTCTCTTAAGCTTGTGTTAACCACAGACCCGTCGACTTAAAGATGAGGGAACCAGGAGTGCTAAAATGCTAACTCATTTCCAGGCATATTTTTAGCATATTTTTATCTTACTGTTTAACTGTAATTCCAGATAATTTGCTACCAGCTGGCCCACATACTGATCCCTTTGTCAAAATGGCCAGGCTTGCATTACATAAGTCCAACAGCAGGCGCGTTTATTGGTCTGGTGCAGCGAAGTCCATTCTGTTAGCCGCAGGTTTTTTACCTCTTGACCAAACGCAAATGCCACAGCACCTCTTTTGTCTCTGGTCGTATAGCACTAATTTAAAAAAAATTGTGTTTGTTACTGGATACACAGCCCAGTCTTTACAGCAGTGAAATACTTCTTAACTTTGTGACTATTTTTACAGCCTTGCAAGAAATCTCGCAAAGATGGTGGCAGTCCTGTTGTCAAGACAATCACAAACTACTTCTCACCTGTGCCCAAGCCTGCGGAGAAACCCTTTTCACCTCCTCGCTCCAACAACATCATGGACTACTTCAGCCGTAAGGCTCCGTCCTCTAAAGAAAAGACCAGCTCACCTGAGCAGTCAAAAGAGAACTGTCAGACGTCTCCACCTGCAGAAAAACACACCAGACCAGAGGCAGCAGTGAAACAGCCATCTCAGAGACGGAGTAGAAAAGCCAGCAAAGCTGCAAGAAAACTTGTGGAGGCTGAGGCGGTTAGCTCCACAGATGAGGCGAGCTGCATAATTGTAGAGGAACCAGCAGAAGCAGTCAGCAGCTGTGGTGTTTTTGGCAGTGATACAGCAGCACTGATGGCCCAGTTCAGTGCTGAGGCTTCTACTGGAGAATCAGAAAGGAATAAACAAGAAGAAGATGAAGATGTCAAACTTCATCCAGAACTTAACAGCATTGAATTATCTCCAATTGTACCATCAAAAGATAAAGTCAAACCCACTGCACGAAACTCTAAGAAGGCAAAGCATTCAGAAGCAGAGGAGAGAGAAAAAGAGAGCTCCTTGTGTGATGTTAGTATGGAGGTCAACGTGGATGAGGCCTCTCAGTTAAACAACAGCACGGTCACAATCTCCTTTGAGGATTTTGTGCGGAGTCAGAGCCAGGACGTGGGTGAAGAGGACATGGAAGATGAACAGGGCAAAGACGATGTAAGTAAAATCACAACAGAGGCAGAAGCAATGGACACTGACCAGTTGGACATCCCTAAAGCTGAAGAGCATGTGGGTTCTGCGGAGCCACCTTTTCAAGTCTCACCCCGAACCGTCACCATCCAGGCTGAAGTACATGCAGTCTCACCCAAACAGGAAGCCAACAAGGCAGGGCCAAAGGTAGCTTCCATCTTCAACAGGAAAAAAGGGGCGACGAGCCCTGCAGAGGTTGTAACGTCTCCTCACACAGAGGCCGGACACCTTCCCCCTTCTACCTCCCTGACTGTCAAGCGTAAATCCAATGTGGTTCTTCAAGAGGAAGATCTAGAGCTGGCTGTGCTTGAGAGTGAATCCATGCCCAAGTGCAGTGAGGCAGAGAGGAAGCAGTTCATGGCTGCCTTCAAACAGCCCGGTCTGGATGCGTCCAAAACGAAGCCTGGTAAGGTCCAGGGCAAACAGAAGCAACCAGGAGAGAAGGCTTTGGACGATGCGGACAAAGTTGCAGAAGAAGACGCTGTAACTCCAGCCTCTGTTGAGCAAGTCCCTGCTGCTTCTCGGGAAAACAAAGTAGCTAAGAAGAAGCCAGCAAGAAAAGGTAGAAAGAAGGCAGTAGAAGAGAAGGAGGCAGTCACCACCCCACCTGCTGCTTCTGCGGAAGACACAGTGACCACAGTTATTGAGACCGTTGATAAAGAAGAGGAGCCTCCCATCACCTCAACTCCCTCCATCCCAGCAGTAAGGAGGTCCAGAAGAGAGGCTGTAATCAGGCAGTCACCGGAGACCACCCCAACAACTCCAATCAGAAAAACCAGGAAACGCAATGAGTCGAAGGATGCAGCTGCTGCTGCCGCCGCCACCGCCGATGACAGCCCTGCAAAGGTGTCCACCCCAAAGACACGCAAGTCCAAACGTGGCGTCTTTGTAGCAGAGATGGTGTGCCCACCTGACTCAAAAGAAAGTCCAATCAGGTGACACATGCATACAGCTATGCTATAATACTATCACACATTCTGTGAAAAGCATTTCTGGTGCATTTTTACACATTGCTTTGAGAAAACATGCACAAATATGAACGAAATGAAAGCGAGTACGAACAGAAGGTTCCGTCCTTTTCCGCATACATATCTAATGTTGAGCATAAATGAGCCTTCACTGTTTTCTAACAGTCCTGCAATGAGTCTGTGATAAATGTATCATACGGTTGAATCAGCACCTCTCTAAACAGGGTGTCCGTGGGGTCTTAAAAAGTATTAAAAGTTGATAAATCAAATGTTGGAAAATTAAGGCCCTTAAAAAGCATTAAAAAGTCTTAATTACGATTTTATGAAGTATTAAATTTTCTTGGCATTCAAGCTTTGACAAAAAGTATCCATGAATGTATAATTTATTTTCCTCCTTGCGACTATTATAAACAAGGATGTGTAGGGAGACACACTCGGACTGCCACTCGGGGTGGGGGCTGAGCGGAAAAAAAAAAGTCCAAAAAAGTTAGTAACTTAAAAATTATGGTGAAAGGGTAGTTTCTTGCAACCCTAGAATTAAGATAAAAATATTCACAAACGAAAAAACACTTCTGGTTGCTGATAAGTAGTGTTTAACACTAAAATTTAAAACCCTTGGCGAGCACTGCAGCGCAAGCAGACAGATGCGCGACTCAGCAGCATGTGTCACTGACACCAGACTCAGAGCACAGCAGACCGGTGGAAAATGTCACCATCAGCATATTATTTTACATCAATAAAATCTATTTTATCATTATTTTGAGTCACATTGTTGAAAGAATTTAGTCGTCTGTGTTCAAGCAGGATAATAGGTCTTCATTCATTGCACGTCGGGCTTTCTATTTCCTTGTCGGAGATGTTTTCTTTTTTAATAACCAACCAAAAACAATCAATCAATTAAAAACACAAACTGGAACTGGAACATGAAATCTTATATGCCTAACAGACATTGCTTCTTGTTCTTTGAGTTTACATATGGTTAAAGGGGAAAAAACAACCGTAAATGGACGACATGATTAGTGTTGCGTTCAAGGCGCCATCTCATTTTATCTGAGTTCTGTTGTATGTTTGTGCTCCATAGATTTAATTGCAAACTACAACTGTTTAGTAAGTTAAAGATGCGTTGCTGCTAACGACAGCTTGAAGTGGCGATGAGGTCTTAAGGTTTTTTTGGAAGGTCTTAAAAAAAAGTCTTAAAAAGGTATTGAAATTAACCTCAGGATTCCTGCATATACCCTGCTAAAACATTTTTGTGTTTTCATTTTGTGTTCTAATTCTGTTTTCTTTTTCTTAAGGATTAAATTTACTAGAGTCCATAGAAATGCGACCAAGGCTGAAAGTGGCATAAACACTTCTTTGACTCCTAAAGTAAGTATGATTGTTACATATTGGAAAAGGTCTGAATGTCATGAATTGTTGTCCTGACTTGACAAGGAGCAGTGTTATAATATTATCGTAATTATGGGCTGATGATGATGAAATACTCTCTCTATATTTTTCAGACATCAGCTGACTCTAAAACACAGAGGCAGGCGAAGAAGTTGGTGGAGAAAGCCAAGGTCATTCAGCAGAGTAAAAAAACTGCTGTCAAGGAGAAGGGCACCTTAAGGCGTTCATCACGAACTGAGGCCTCCACCAGGAAGAGCTACTGTGAAGATGAGGTACAGTTAAAGCTACAGTTGGTAACTTTTATTTTTAAAAAAAAGTTAAGTTTTATCAGATCTTTTACTATCTTTGGACTGTTTGCTTGCACATACGGAGCCTGTTCACATTGAGGTTGCAACCTTGTTGTAGACATATACCTTGGTGCAGCTTGTTTTGCACTGATTTTCTCCTTGGTCTTGTGAAATAACTATATTTTACCAAAACCACTGAGAAGCAAGTGTACTTAGTCCATTCTGGGGTGCATAGCTGCTCAACACGGCGCTATATAGAATAAATATTTCACTCTAATTTGGGGTTGGTAGCAGGATTTTGATAAAACTAGTTGCAGATCAGTGTTTATAAAGTGCTGTAAAGGCCTAAAAACGGATGTCAAACGTACGACCTACGGGCCGATCTCGTCTGGCCCTCTGGATGACTGCACAAAAGAGATGATTGTACCTATGATATGACACATGATTAATTGTACCTGTAATCTGTGTGTTCACTCATTCTTTTCCTTGTTATTTGGTTTGTTTTTTCAGGATTCTGTCATCTGCCTGGAGGACGCCCAGAGTACCACTCCCCAGGCAGCAGGAAAGACTAAAACCCAGAAACCTTTACGCAGTCTGAATGAAGTTCTGGGTAAAGCCCCATCTGGTGGCAAAGAGGCCAAGGCTGTCCCAGGTAGTCTTTCCCACTCCAAGTCTTCATTTACTGTTTGTCATTTTGTTGTAGTCTCATCTAATAGTGCTGCTTTCTTTCTCACAGGCTCCAAAGCGACCGCGCTGGGCCAAGAGAAAACTGCTCGGAAGGTGTCTGCAGTGATTTCCATCTTTGATGACAGCAGCAGAGAGGGCTCTGAGAACTCCCAGGATGATGAGCAGTTCAGGGCGCGCAGAGAGTTCTTGAAGAGCGGCCTACCTGAGTCCTTCAGGAAACAGATAGCCAAGACTGCTGCCACCAAGGAGGCCTACTCTCTCTCCTGTTCCTCCTTTCAACCTGTTATTCACATAAACCAAGCACCAAATGGTGAGCTGTTCCTTCAAAGAAATACACGTTGTCTAAAGTAACTAAGTACATTTATTCAAGTACTGTCCATGAGTGGCAATCAGGCATCAGCTTTTGGTTCCCATTTTTGGTTACCTTACATTTTGAGTAATTAAGAAACTACGCAGTTAAATGTCGATGTTATAATAACGTAACTGATACCTTACAGAATTTGAATCTCAAGTGGTTTCAGTTAATGTTTCCACCCTTAATCTCTGGTGTACAAAATCCCGCTTGGCAGCATTAATCTTGCAAATGCTGCTGTTCATCGGCTTGTTAATTGGTGTGCCAGCTCTTGCAGCCTCCACCTCATTATCATTAAGCTGCCCTCTCATTATGCCTTCAGCTCCAGTGCTTGTGTATCCCACCTTGAATTAGTGAACCTGATGTGTCACTTGTCGAGATGTATGTTGTGCATGCTTTGCAGTATGAATTTTTGTTCAGCCCAGAGACTCTGGGATACTTTGCCTCTGAAGCAAGGTTGGAAATTAGCACCAGCCACCAGCTAAATGCTGGTAAAATAGATTTGCTGCACTCACTAGCCAAAAAAGGGTAATCTATTGAGTGGCTGGTAGATTTTGGGATCCATCAGCCAAAGTTCCAACCCTGCTCCCAAGACTTTACAAATTAAAGTTTCTGTTTTTCGTTCAGGTTCATCTGGTTCATCAGTTTTTGCACATTTGATTGTGATGGTGACGGGTTAGTCAAACTCCTCACCCCACAGTTACTCCAAGTTGCTTCGCCATAGTCTATAAAGCAAATGTCTGTTTGCACGCATGTTTACGCACAGTAATTCAACAAATATTAAAAACATTTGCTGTTTGCAGCTCCTGTTTTTTATGTTAAAATGTGGCTGCCACTGGTGGCAACTAAAGGCCAATATCGTAGGTTGCCAATATCTCAAAATGGTTGCAACCCGGTAAGTGTTACTGTTGAGCCCTGCATTAAAGTAGTGATAATTATAATTCAGTAATATATATTGTTCCAAAGTAAGCCATTTTGCATAAGGAGTGCTCTTACGTTTGGTACTTTAAGTTATGTTTTGATGCAAGTAGTTTTAAATGCAGGACTTTAACTTGTAACAGCATTTCTGGAGTGTGGTATGGCTACATTTACCTACAGACATGATCTCAGTACTTCATCCATCACCGTTGTCTAGTACAGTTAGTTAAATAATTAAGTTGTCTTTTTTTGTGCATTAGTTTCATTATTATGAAGGACTGGTGAATCAAGAGGGACGGGAGCCTGACTAAATTTGTTTTTGTTGTTTGACAGATTGTCCTCTTTGGGGTCTGTTGTGGCCTGAGTCTTCATTACTGTCTCATATGAAAGAGCTTTGGAGTCAAACATCCATCCTGACTCCATCTGTTAGCGGCTCCCTTTGTGTGAAGACGCAACCAGCTCATAGAGCCTTCTGTGAACGGGTATGTTGAAATGACTATAATGATGAAGGTAGTGATGCAGTTACATGTTCAACAGGATCGATACCTCAGAATACATTTGCCTAACTTATAGCTACTATCTGGCTGCCTGGATGTTATATTTAAAAAGGCTTATTAAGCGAGACATAAAAACACATAGTTAAAGTCTTATTTCTGTCCAGTTTGTTTGTATTTTTGTTAATTTCATGGTTTATAGTGCACTTATTAAACTTTTTATAAATGGTTAAAACAGATAAGACGTTATGAGGGTAAACTACAGTGGGGTTAAACAGCAAACACAATATTTAAAACAAGTATTTTTCTTCCTGAAGGGTTCTGGCTGGAGGCCTGAGATCTCTGAAAGTGTTCGTCAGCTTCTAATGGAGGAGGTCAGCACCTGTAACCCTCCCTTCCCTGTTCAGACGTTCCTCACTCGCTTCCTGAAGAGACGCGCCGACCACCAGCAGCAGTGCACAGTCTCAGGTCAGTCTGACAGGCACTTATTGGACTCGCACACTGAGAGCATCAGATGGCATTAAATGTTTATTTTAGGCTGTTATTTATCCTGTATTTATTTATCAGCATCTACAAGAAGAACGTTTTTAAGTTAAGCAATGTGCCCTCAAAGCACATTATTTAGGCAGCATTTTAATCGATTAACGTTTACAAACCTGCCAAAATAGAGACAGATTAAATTAAACTATTCTGCACATCCACTTTATGTTACCTTCTAGAACCAGAGGCTGTAACCAGAGCCACAAGCTCCACGCTGCCTGCTGAACAAGTAGGAGGGAAGAGGAAGAGGACAGATGATGAGGGGGAAACAACAGTGAAGGTGGCGAAGAAGCAACGAGCCTGTGTAGAAGAGAAAGTTTCTGAGCCTGAGCCAACAAAAAGGGGAGGCCGTACGAGGCGATCTCGGAGATCAAAGCCAGAGGAGGAGGTGGACGACAAAGCCAAGCCTTCAGTCAAGACTGCTCCCATCCCATCTGAAGACGACTGTATGATTGTGACTGATGAGCAGCTTTTGGGAGAGAACACTGGAAATAAAGGTGAGGTGTCACATGTTACACTCTGAATTACCCAATTTTTATTTTACTCTCTCTTTGAACTTTGGAATCAATAGACAACACTTGATCTAATTAGGAAACTGGCCTCATGACATCAGAAAATGTGCTGAACAAAAAAATTGGGCAATCAGCCAATGGGAAGTGACTTAAATGACATAACTGCACGACAGGAAGCTCCTATGTAATGTCAGTGCAAGTTTGCAATTAAAGAGGAACAGACTGACACACCATAAGTCCAACTTAAGCTACGCTCTCTGAGGGTTGCAGCTAAAAATCTGTGTTTACTCTAGTATTTTTTAAACTCCAGTATTTCCTTTTGTAGCAGTTGACTGGCTCTGACAGTGAAGCGAGGGCAGACTTTTATTAAGTGCTTTTGAAAGTACTATAAATACAGCTGCCGTCATTGACTCCACCACAACAATGTATAATTATCTTAAAAACCACCTCCAAGAGGAAATCGCACCTTCCAACTGGCATGACAACTTCAGTACAAGCTTGTTAAAGGTATTCATGTGGTGATTGTTAACTTGTTTGCTGGATAGATCCAGTTGGTGTCTGTAAACATCATGGGCTGATGTAAGTCTCTGAGTCTCTAAGTTACTATTTATTAATGAATTGGCTTGAGTCCAGTGGGGCTAAGTAGTAGGGTGTGGAGGGAGATCATGAGCCACTGACACTGACTGGGGTGTTATACAGTCTGATGGCTGTGGGGACGAAGTAGTGCTGCACGATTAATCGCAATCGCAATCGCGATGTCAGGCTGTGCGATTACATAACCGCATAAAAGGCTGCGATTTGCGATTTAATGTAGGCTAAACAAATGTTAACGTGTGTGCCTGTGAACGTGACTGCCTCTCCTGTAGTGTGTGGAGTTTGTTGACATCACGCCCACAAGCTATCCTGGTGCGTGCAGCCGGCGTGCAGCAGTGACCAACGCAGACGCTGAAGAACGTTGAACAGAAAGACGTGCTGTGTAAGTGTAAAAGTTAAAGTCGCCACGTCCCGGAGTAACACGACCAATCTATATCAGCACTCAAGACAGGACGTGGCGACTTTAACTTTTAAACTTTTACACAGCGCGTCTTTCTGTCCAAAGTCGCCATACCTGAAAGACGTGCTGTGTAAAAGTTTAAAAGTTAAAGTCGCCACGTCCCGCGGCAACACGACCAGTCTATAACAACACTTGAGACAGCACAGCACAGGGAAAAGTAGGAAGAGTGCATGCGAGAGAAAGCCGAGCCGTGGAACGTTAAAGACAAAGAGACAACTGAAAGCTGCCAGAGCCTCATAAAACAACATCCAAGCACAGTTAAGCAAACATTTGTAAGTGTCACAGGGAAATCATGGACTCCATAACAAATGAAAAATTGAGCAATTTTGCTCTGTTTCGGCCCACTTGACATGCTGCTGTGTTGTGCTATGGCGTGCTGGAATTTGTCATTTACGTGACAACACCTGAACGCAACACAGGCTCGCTCCGCTGTGTGTACAGTTTGTGTTTATGTTTATTTTATTTAAGAAGGGACAGTGCACATTAATTAACATGATCACGTAAGTCACGTAAATGTGCCAAATTTAGCCATACAGGCTAATTTTCATCTGCAGATGTGCTGCGCTACTGTGTGAGCAGCGTCTTTGACTGTGCTCAGTCTGTTAATGGTCATTGACACACTGTCTGTCCATAATAATAACTATGTCAGGTCAGTGCTCCCCTAATATAATGTAGGGGAAACACTGAATCAAGCAAAAAGACTCACGATACCATTTATTTATTACATTTTATTGTAATCGCAATCGCAAATCTCGGTATTGTCCACCATAATCGCAATTGCACATTTTTATCAAATCGTGCAGCACTAGGACGAAGGATCTCCTGAAGCGTTCAGTCTTGCAACACAAGCAAATATGCCGATCACTACAGTAGTGGGTATCCATATCTGTGACCATTTCAGCTTATTGTCCAAGCAAGGCTGCAGGGGTGACCTAGTCTCAATCTCTTTTTCTCTCTATACTCACCCAGAGATACTCAATTTATTGTATGTTCTACAGATGTGGTGAAGGAGGACGTGCTGTGGACAGACAAATATCAGCCTCAGCACTCCAGTGACATATTAGGCAACGCTGCCGCAGTGAGGAGGCTGCACAGGTGAGGCACTAAAACTGTTTTAATTCCACTGCAACTGACTGTGTTTTCTTTTATACTGCATCTCTTAAATGGTATCAGACCTTTACGCAGATGTGCACAATATGTTGATGTGTCAGGATCATTGGGGTGAATGTTTAATGTTTCTTTTTGTACAGCTGGCTGAAGGAATGGAAACTACGCGCAGACCGAGAAGAGAGAAAGAAGCAGAAAGACAAGACACAAGAGGAAGGCAGCAATGGTGGGACAAAAAGACATTTTACAATTTTCTTTTCAACTACATTTGTTGGTTTGATGTGTGTTTGTGTGACCGCATGATGGCTCTTTGTGTGCAGACTCAGACTGGGACTGCGGAGAAGAGGACACCCAGGATGACGAGGACATGTTATGTAACACACTGCTTATCACAGGACCCACTGGAGTGGGAAAGACTGCTGCAGTCTATGCTTGCGCCCAGGAGCTCGGCTTCAAGGTACAAAATCTGTAAGGTACATAACTGTGTGTGTGTGAGAATCAGCGTCCTCATTTCCTAACGACTGTGTGCTTTTCTAAGGTATTTGAGGTGAACGCTTCATCTCAGCGGAGCGGCCGTCTCATTCTGTCCCAACTGAAGGAAGCCACTCAGTCACACCAGGTGGACAGTCAGGGGGTCAACGCCCACAAACCCACCTACTTCAACAGTTACGGCACAAGCAGCAGCGCTGGCGCTCTCAGGCCTGGATCCTCTCCCAGTATGTACAGAGCTAACTTTGATAACACTGTTTCTAATGAGCGGTTGGCTTGTGATAGGAACTGTTGTATGCATATTTTGTATGTGTTTGGCATTATATACAGCGTGAATATTGCAGTTTTCTCTGGGGCTTAGCTGAAAATCATCCAACTCTTGTCATTGGCCGATCAGTTGGTGCATCTCTAATTACAAGACGAACACAAACTGATTGTTGATTGTTTTCTTCATCTCCCAGGAAAGGTTAACTCTCCTCGTAGGGTGGTGTCCTCTCCCAGGAAAAATCCCCAGTCCCCAAGAGGTACAAAAAGAGGAGGCCTGGCTCCCACCTCTTTGGCTAACTTCTTCAAAATGGGTCGACCCACCACCAAGGAGACGCCCAACACTAAGAAGAACGAACAACCAGGTAAATGTTAACTTATGTGACTAGGCCACCTTCATGAAAACGTTTTATCAGGACTTTAACAATAAGTATTTTGCTGTTTCTTTTCTCTCTCCCTCATCTCTTCATATAGCTGCTTCCAAGAAAGCCACAAAAGCAAATGAAGGTGCCAGTAAGCAGAAGGACCCCGCAGTCAAATCTCCAACAGCCACCACCCCTAAAGAGAAGGATAGTGAGGAGCAGAGCAAGAAGACAGCCACCTCACTGATCCTGTTTGAAGAAGTGGATGTTATTTTTGATGATGACTCGGGGTTTCTAGCTGCCATCAAGACATTTATGACCACTACGAAGAGGCCAGTCATCCTCACTACCAGTGGTGAGTAAAAGGAGGAAGGTCAAATGTCATACACTTTTGTGTGAGTTGATCAGATTTATTTATGCTCTAGTTTTGAGTCTAAATCAAATCCTGCATGTTTTATAGATCCTGCTTTCAGCGCCATGTTTGATGGCAACTTTGAAGAGATCCATTTCAGAACACCTTCAGTGGTGAGTGGACGATTTCTCAATACAAATGCTTCAATATTAGATCTTACTGACTGTACTGGTTGTTTAATGTGGCTTGATCTTTTGATGCCAGTGTAGTGGGAACAATCAGTCATCAAAAGTAATCATTTGTGCATCAGTCAGTTTTTCAGTTGTCCTTCTCTTCCTGGTGCAGATGGATGTGAGCAGCTTCCTGAGGGGGTTGTGTCTGACTGAGGATGTGAGGACAGACCTGTCGGACATCAGCTCTCTGCTCAGACTCAATGGATGTGACATCAGACAGAGTATACTGCAGCTGCAGTTCTGGACTCGCAGCGCAGGCGGCCACCACGTGACCAGGCCACTGACGCACACTGGCAAAGATGGTAAGGAGATGAGTTTGAGGAAGCATGCGAAAATGTTGGAATAGTAATATTGCTATTAATTGATTTTGCTTTATTTATATTTTCAATGTTTTGTAGATGTCAGTGAGCACTTTCAAAATCAGTCTGTTTGTATCTACTGTCGACATGGATCAGAATTATTTATGCCTTTTATTTAATCTCATCTGGATTACTGTAACTTTCTATTCTGCACTCATCCCTTCCTATGCTTTGCGTTCCTTCTAGAATACAGTTCAAAATTTTATTAATCACTCATAAAGCGTTAAATGGTAAAGCCCCAAGTTACTTCTGACCTGCTAACCCCATATGTAGAAGGGCACACACTTAGGTCAGTAGAAAAAAGCTCTTCTCGCAGTTTCTATGTCTGGACATGTAACAAAGGGTGACCTTGTGTTTGCTGCATGGCACCTAAATCATAATGTGACACAGTTTGTTACAGAGAACCATCTGAAAAGGGCAGGCACTTTCAAAAAAAATACTCGGCAGGTGATTGGATGAACCATTTCTGTATCACCGTATATCACAGGCCAGTCAGGAGAAAAAGCCAAAACATATTTTTCAATGGAGAAAAGCTCTAAGTGCATGAATGATGAGCTTTGAATCTGTAGTCTCGCCACCAGACAATCAGAGATCTCCGCCTTCTGATAGTCTGGGGACACTCCTTTCTAAAGTGTGTTTAACACACCGGCAAAAACGGCCGGCAACAAAGCAACACCTCTTGCATTTTTGAAAAGGACACGCCTTCTCGGAAATGTGCTCTCCCCCTTTTCTCGTCCACAAGGAAACAAACACACAGAGAGCTTGAAAATGGATGCTGAGAGATTTAACTCCGTTTTATCAAATGTGCGCTCATCCGTAAAGAAAATATTTTTTCCAGCGGATGTCTTAGTTACAACATTATTGAGCTAACTGGAGTAGTTTCATGTCGTATCCGACAACGGGAAGCTTTTAACAGATGATGTCCTGATGTTAGCTTTGCTGCTGCTGTTAGCTGTCCCTGTCAGCTGCAGCCACTGATGCTTTCTAGACATCGTGATTTCCCAAAAGTGAATAAATACCACACATAGCAACACAAAACTGCTTTGCTAGCTCAATCATGTTGTAACTAAGATATCCGCTGGAAAAGATATTTTTTTCACGGATCGTTTAATAAGTTATTACCTATTACAGACACCTCTAACGGCTAGCAGGGCTAACAGCTAACGGTTAGCCCAGCTAAACGTGCACACAGAAATAGTAATGTTTTTTCAATCATTGTGTTTATAGACTTTACAAACATCGGATTAGTCCAAACGGTGATACAGTGATGTGAAAAATGTGATATATAGGCTATATATATAGCTAAAAGCTCTGCTGGTTTTCTACCCGGAAGTATTTGTAAACAACAAGGCGATTCCCTCTAATGTTATAGTCCGGCCGGACGGATGAGTCATGGCCTTGTAAAAGATTATGTTTGTTTCTTTTAGTTGATGAGAATGTGTCGCCGCAAACGCGACAAACATCCACTAAACTTTGACGGCATTTTCTGTGAGCACGGCTGAGCCATTTTGTACCGCTACACATGTTTCTAGTGGGACTATGTTTATAAGCACAATAGTTCAGTGAGCCACCGAAGGACCGCCCTGCAGATTTACTATTGGTTCTGCAACATAGGGAGTTTTTTTAAACTCTGAAATTGTATCCGCCCATCTAAACACAAAATCAGGGAGAAAGTTATCAGTCTTTAGTTAAGCAAAGCGTCTAAAGACTGACTTGTGAGTCTATTGAATCTGAGACAGCATCACAACTTCTTTTGCAATTTTCATTTAGCCTTGCTATTTCACAGAAAAAATGCCCATAAACATGCCATGAAGTCAGTCATTTTAGGTTGCAACAGTCCCAAAAACAGCCTTTGAAATCCTGGATGGACTGATTGGTTGGCGTCTGACAAGATGGAATTTTGTGTCATCTCGAGATTCTGTAATTTATGTGTAATCTCTTAATATCACAAGAAATCTGCTGCTGTGCACGATAAGATAAATTCTTGAATGATTTGCCGTACACAATCCACACAGCAACAAACTTATTGTTTTTAAACTGGAATTGAACAGCCAAACTTGACTTGTATGATTTTTCTTGGACAATGTATTTATTTACCTTTTATTCCTGTCTGGTATGTCATTTGTTAAAGCATTTTGTAGCTGTGTTAAGAGAATTGTTATTCAAATAAATTTAATGTTGTTATAAATCACCTTTTACCATTATACAGAGACTGATAAGGAGGCAGCTGCGTGTGCAGTGACGGACCCACCCACTCTCCCTCCCTGTGACACCGGCTGCACTGAGAGCATGCTGGGCCTGCTGAATGTTGAACCTAAGAGGGACATTTGGGAGCTGCTCAGGGTAAACACTTCATTTACCATACATACAGTGCTTAGAGTAGGAACATGTAACAAGTGAGGCCTGAAACATGTAACAAGTGAGGCCTGAAATACTTTAACCGTGCTAAGACCTCCCGATGACTTCTTTAATATGATCACAATGTTTTTTTAATTCTTGATCGACCGGGTTTGTGTCGTCAACAGAGCCAGAGTCCATCGGAGGAGACACTACGCTGGGAGCTGCTGACAAACTGCAAGCGACGAGGAGTGGACCTGCTCTATTCCAACATGGAGACACTCTTACCTCTACCTCTCACACAGTTGACTACCTCTACCCACAAACCAGAGCAGTCTGTTTCTGCATCACAAGACCATCCTTCCGTTAATCTGAAAGAGATGCCATCCCATGCCAGGGTACTGCACACGTCAGAGTCAGCAGATTGCTCAGATGACGGCAGTCCAGTTAAAATGTCAGACAGAATGAGGAAGAACAAGAGGCGGCACGGTCTACCTGACCAGGATGGACTGGACTCGGACTCAGAGGACAGTTTTCTATCTCTCTGCAAGCCACAGGGCGCTCCTCAGGCAAAGGAGGAGGTCAAAGAGAGTTCCGTTTCACAGAGGGTGAAGAGAAAACCACTTACTCCAGAGGAGCGGGTAAAAAGTCTCCCAGTCTCCCAGTGTCTGGAATCAATAGCTGACTTTTTAGACAACATGTCGTACATGGACTCAGCCTTGCCCGTTCATCTAGAAGGGGGTGACGGCCACAGAGGAATGTCAATAGCCAGTGCAGTGATGAAAGACGGGATGACAGATGAATCACGTGTTGAGACTGAGAGAGGGAGCTGGATGAGAGGAGAACATGTCTCTGAGATCTCAGCTGCTGTGGAGGCTCTGAGCTTCCACAAGTGCTGTGTTTCTGTAGCGGAGGCATGGGACAAAGCCCAGAAACTAGAGGGGGAGCTGGGAAAAGAGGCTGCGGCAGAACTCACCCTCCCTGTGGCCGCTCATCGACAAAGTCACAGCATCACTCAGGAGGGTCCCTGTCAACCACAGTGAGTCTCATCTTTCTTTACACAATGTTATCAACGTTTGCAGTGTAAACTTCATGCTCTGCGGCTCAGTTGGCATGACTTTGATCACAGAATGAACAAATTCCAATCCTGACCAGTTAAACCAGTTCAAATACAGATAAAATGTATTTATGTGTTACAGGCTGGCCCAGCGGAGGAGAGAGGTGATGGAGAGTCTGACGTTCAGAGGAGTGTTTGGTACTCTGGGCAACAAACCAGCAGCTGCTCTGGACTACTTGCCAGCTCTTCGCACCATCTGCAGATCAGAGCAGCTGAAGGAGCAGGGCAAAGTTAAACGAAGGTGAGCATGCAGAAACCAGAGTCAGTGCTGATTTTCAACCTGACTCAGAATTACATCACTCAAATCAGATTTGGCTGTTAAATACAAATATTCAACTATTAGTTCCCTTTTTTTCCCATATAGAGTTTGAGAGTTTGAGCAGAGTTCAGTTTGACGTTCAGTGTTACAGCGACATTCATGGAATATAGTAAACAACCTAACTGCGCAAACAGTGGATCAGAAATGTTTAACATTTTTCCCGGCACTAGATATGAAACAAAAGCCAAAAACTTTATCATCCTAAGTTACTGTGAGCTGTAATTTTACCACTTCTAAACAAAAGGCAGAAGATAATGTTATCTTGAAACCTCACTTGGCAAGGCCTCCCCTCCTCTGGGCAGCTGTCTCAGTGTCCGCAGCTGCCTGTACTGAAGAGCAATGTAAAAGAGAGGAGCACTTACTCTGCAACAAAATTTGGGGACCAAAACATCCACAAAAGTACACTGTTTACTGACAAAATAAAAAACTCTAAAGAATCTCAGTCACCTGAGGGATCTGCAATTTGAATCTCTGACTTTCTGGGGGCGCTACACTCCTACAGCTTTGTGTCATAACAATGTAACTAGTAGTGTGTGTAAATAAACTGTAGTAAACTTCCATCTTACCAGCGCCCAGCTCTACCTGCTCATCTTCCAGCTCATAATCACCAGATGACACATTTTGCATCATTCCATGATCAAACATGAACCGAGATTCTGTTAGTGCGTTCCCTTTCTTTTTTTCACCTTAAATGTTTTTAGCAACTTACTACATGATCGTTTGTTCCCAGCTGGCTGCCATGGTGTTTCCTGTTGAACAATGGCAAAGCTCACATTACATCATCCTCCAGTGGGAGCAGTTATCGGTCTGGTGCGGTGCGGTGTGTTCTGGTAGCGAATGCCACAGCCCTTCTTCTATTTTCTCTGTGCAGTAGTAAGAGACAAATACTTTTGAAATTGGTGTTACATGACCAGACAGTCCAGTTTTATGAAAAATACAAGTGAAATACTACTTCCTAAATTGGCTTAAATGATGACATGTCAAGCTAGGGACTTAGCCTGATATGGTTGGGTTGTTTTTATTGAGTAAATGCTAGCCATCACAGTTTAGATCTGGATTAATCTTATTTCCATAGAGTCTAACATTAGCTAGTGTACTTGTTCTTCCAAATTCCACTTGCATTAGCTCTTCAGCCAAAGTGCCACCTTCCCGTTAGCGTTAGCCCCTGATGGTTCTGTTTTTTTGGTTGTTTGTTTTTTTATGCTAAGATAATATTAGCAAGACTAATAATGTCCTAATCATGACCTTAACAATTGCTTTTGGCTTTTGGGAAGTGGTGTAGACATTTAGCTGAAATACATACATATCTGTGCCCTGTCTTTTAGTTGACCACACAGACGTTGCAATAGCTGCAAAGAGCAAAAACCACATTCTTTTGTACTAGCTACCCCCCTTTCTTTGTCATCTTTTTCACCTCTGATAAGTTTGCACCCCTGTAGTTTTTCACTTGGCCAGCAGCATCAGGTCTCGGTTTAAAGTGTGGGCAGGATGTGGTGAAGTGCTTCTCCTCACAGGCAGCCAGCACGTATAACTGACAGACTACAAATAAATGTGTGAAAGTGTAACCTGAACTGTAATCGTATGCAGGACACGGTGCATGCATGTAACTCATGCAAGTGCAGCCAAGTCTGTTGAAATGGGTCCACAGAAAACTGATTTTTGTTTTTACTCTACAGGTTCCTACACTACTTGGATGCGATCCACCTTGGTCTTGCAAAGAGCACTCTGCAGTACCTTGCTGAAGTTTTCCCCGGAACCACAGAGGAGATCAGACGTGTCCTCATGATCACACAGAGTCCTGAAACAAATACTGCTCTTTGAGTGGTCACACTTTGAAGGTCCAAATGTTTTGGCTGAAACACATTTACAGGTTGTGTTGTGAAGCGAGGATGAATAGTCAGGCAGCAGTATAAATCATAGTGCCTTTTGCCACCTTAAAATCCTGACCTCGGCATGAGATGATCTGGTCAGAAGTGTGTGTGCACAGAGGACTGTCTGGTGAAGCTTCCACTTGTTTCTTCTAGGATGAAATGACTGAATCACTGAATACAGGAAAGGTATTCTCACCTGAAGGGCACACAGCTAAATAACCTCAAATGCCTGATTCAGCACATCCTTTGGTGCTTTCAAAGACTGCACTAAAGATTTTTACTTTATATGGTTTTTGTAATATTAAGCTGTGCTGGAGTCTGTTTTTTTGTACAGTAGTGTATTGTACGCTGAGGCCTTTGCATTTTGCAAAGTGTTTTTATTAAGTAGAGTATGTATCGTTAATGATTTGTAAGAGATTAACATGTAAAATAGAATTTGTAAAGGCTGTGTGTAAATTGTCACTCTCCACACAAAGTACTGTTGATGCACTCAGGATCTTATCCAAGTTATAAACGGCAGACGGCTTTTCACAGAAAGTTTGTCAGCTTCACATCACCGTCACATTCAACACTGATTTTCTTTTTTCTTTTTTTTAATTTTTATTTGATCTTTTTTCACCCACAGAGTAATCATTTGCATATCAGTTACTCACCATGTTTCTTTTAGTTGCTGAAGAAAGCATTGTTTTTCTTGCTTGCCTTTACGATGATCGGAGAATCCAAAGACGTAGAAAATGAACTGAAGTTAAAAGACTGTGTTTAACTATATAAAAACATTGATTTAAAAACCCTGATGCAACTCCTGCACTATAATCCAAGTCTTATGCTGCAGTCATGTGCTCCTCAGATGGTACTTTTCTGTGAGGTAGAAAGTCGTTCTTCCCACTTTGGTGTGTTCATTAGCTTTTTAGTTATAATGTGGAAAGAATATGTGCTGCTTTTTATACCCCAGAGCATTAAACGTCCTAGTGAAGATTCGTGTTGCTATCCAAGTATGGTGAAACAAACGTTAGCTTTATATAACAGTAATTTTGTCCCAGACTTCTTGCTATACCCGTACTCCCTAAAACCACTAAAATCTTGCTTTATCTTTGTTATCTACGGAAGCACATTGCATTCACCGAATAAATAAAAAAAATCTCGTAATTACAAGATCTTTTCTCGTAATTACAACATATCTCAATTCACCTCTGTAGTCTACAGGTATAACGCTTTTATTCTGAAAAATGTTGACCGGAAGTACCGTCCAACTGTTTCTCGGTGGACTCACTTTAAAATCAGCTAGCATTAATGTTATTACGGTATCAGCGAAAGGCCTTAAGGTAGTACAACGTCAGGGTCTCGTAATTACGACATCAGGATGTGTCGATTTTTTTAAAAATTTTTTTTATTATTATTATTATTATTCAGTGAATGCAGTGTGCTTCCGTAGTCAGGGTTAATGCTAACAAAAAGCTTTTTAGTTACGAATACAACCTAATACCAGATTACAAGTTACATGTGAGCAAAAAGTAATATGCAATACGTGAATTAATAAAAACTTTCTTAACATAAATCAAATGTTTACATTCATCTGCCATGTTTTCTGCATAATATAATAGCAGTTTGACCAGTTGTGTACCAAAATTTTCACCTATCTAAGTTGTGCTGACTTTAGGGGGCGTTCATGTGGATTTTCCAAGTAGAGAACTAATTTTTCCAATTATTCCAACACGACATGAATGCAGCATTTTTCAAAACCTCACTATTTAAACACTGAAGTATGAACAGTCTCATGCACTGAGGCGCTGCACCCAAGGCAAGTGTGTGCATTTGAACGCAGCATGTGCACTTACACAAGTGCTCTGCTGGTGTGCGTTGGTTGAACATGGTGCAGTTTTACTCCTCTTGGAAGAGTTTTCTGGTTTTGGATTCTTCGTTCACCATGGAGGCATGTGAGAGAAAGTTTACTTCTCAAACTCAACACAGGGTGAGGAATTGATTTACAAATGATCATTTTGTTGGTGCAGTGTTCCTTTAATATGTACACATTATTCACAGTGGGGTTTTGTTGTGACCAAATAAAGGTTTATAACAACTACATAAATAACTTGTCTCATCATCTATGTGTTTACAGTGTGTGTTTTTATCGTGAGCTGATCTCAGTGTGGCTGCAGATATCTGGGGGGGCTGGCTCAACCAGAAATGTTTGCTTTGGGAGACTGAGGCTTGTAAAGTCTTTCAGCGCACAGTGGGCAGACCGGTTTCAGGGGTGTTTGGTCGCAAAGGCATGAATGACTGCCCAATCAGCGTTTGTGTTTTGGAGGGTGCTGTGCACATACACACACTATAAAGGACAACCCACTGCTCATTGTTTCCGTCAGTGCAGCAGGACGCGCAGCACAGTCCGGAGTTGTAACGTCCGAAACTCATCTGTTGTAAGTGGACGTTTTGAAAGCTGCATTTCGCCACGTGTGAAGCTATGCGACCATGTTTGGTTTAGACAGCGGGATTCATTATCGTTTGAGAGGAGACCGTGACTTTGTACTGAAATGGCCAACCATGAGCGAAACAAGAAGATGTTACTGGAACTGCTGAAGCAGCCGGTCAACAACCGGTGCGCGGACTGCGGCGCGCCTGGTGAGTGCTAAACTCTGTTTACTGGTGATGTTATGTGGTAAAGCTGCATTCACAGGCTCTGTTTATCTGTCAGCTTATTTTAAATACTGTATATTTAATCAGAAACTTTCCTACATAGATAAAGATAATGAGATCTCACTTCCCCTCTTGAATTGATGAGATTTTTTGACATTTAAAGGAGTAGTCCGGATTGTTTGAAGTGGGCTTGTACAGGGTACTTAACAATAGTAAATTTATTAGGCCATAAACAGTAGATGTAGGCACACCCCAGTTTGGAGAAGTAGGCTGGTGTCTGACACCAAAGCAAAGCAATGTAAAGCTGTGGATAGGGTCAAAGCCACCTAAAAGAAGTCAATATTTTTAAGTTTGTGAGTATTTTCACTGCTTATTTATCCTCAGGCAGCCCTTTCCAACAGGAGAGCCGTTAGCAGCTTCAGTTCCCCATCTGTGCTCTCGTCAAAACCACCAGACCCCAGTGACAAAAGCAGTCGTCTTAGTTCTCTGAGCACAGGAGCCGCTAGTCTACCACTGCTTTGATCAGTTAGCTCTGGTAAATAACTGAGCTTCTCACACCGCACCACCCACCAGGCCCCTCAGGTCTGCTAATCTGGGTTTTCTAACTGTTCCAGAGTCCAGGTTCAAGACAGGCGGTGATTGAGCCTTTTCAGTTCTTGCTCCTTGGCTTTGGAACAGCCTCCTGAACATCAGATCTGCTGACTCTGATCACATCTGTCTGAAAACTTAATTTTACAGATTGGCCTTTCCTGACAGTTAATAGACTTATTGTGTGTATGGGAGTATATGTATGTATGCAGCCAGGTGCATGTGTATGCATGCTTACAAGAATATATGTGCTAAGTGTATATGTTAGTATCACTTTTGTTTTGTATTTTCTCGAAAAGTGCTCTTCAGATAAAGTTATTACTATTATTATTATTAGTTATTTTGTGTTATTGTCTGAACTAACCCTTTTAACTGCCCAAGTTACACAGTAAGACAAATAAAATGACTTACTGAGGCAGCAGTAGACCTGTCTCACAGCAAGAGGGTACCTGGTTCGTACCCAGGGTGGGGGAGCCACTCTGTGTGGAATGTGCATGTTCTCCCCATGTCAGCGTGGGTTTTTCCTGGGTGCTCCAGCTTCCTCCCACAATCCAAAGACATGCAGGTTAATTGGCGACTCTAGATTGGCCATGAGTGCGATTGTTGTCTGTCTCTGTGTCAGCTCTGCCATAGTCTGGTGACCTATACAGATTATACCCCGCCCCTCGCCCAGTGTCACCTGGGATGGTGCTCCAGCCCCCTCTCAACTCCCAACAGGATAAGCGATTACAGAAATGAAAGAATTATATAACGGCTTCATTCTCTCTGTGTAAATCACTGACATTAAGATAAAGTATTGAAAATATTCTAAATACAACATACACTTAAGTGGCTAAAATTTGTTATGTCGCTGGCCCCTCCATAGCAATAGATTGCTTTGCTTTGCTTCCATGGTGGACTCCAGCCTGATTTTCCAAACTAAAGCCATGCCGACTAACATCTGCTGTTTGTAGTACACTGTCTATGGATAAGTACTCCATACAACACCAGTTCAAAAAACTTGTGAACTATCCCTTTAAGGGTTGCAGTTTTAAGAGTTTGTTATTGTTGGCATTTATAAAGCTGATCAGCCTGAGATGAATGTGATTGTCATTTTGTGGGAGCCATCAAGGCAGGATTACCAACCAGAGAGAGGGCAAAGGCCCACTTCACTGCTGTGGTAGTCTGATTTACCATAATTCTGTAGGCCTATGGAAATATGCACTCTAAGTAGTGGTTGAATGTAGCTAAGCAGCCTACAAGTGATGTACACATAAATGCATCAGTAGTAATAACTCATAATAAGCACTTTCAATGGCAATACTTTTGTACTTCTACTTTAGTATGATTTTGAATGCAGGACTTTTAGGATGCAGGAAAAGTGGTTTTGCTGTAGTGCTACATTTGCTTTAGTAAAACACCTGAATACTTATTTCACCACTGGCTTTAGTTACTGGTTACTTTGAGATTGAGATTATTGACCCAAAATATAAGTAATATAATAAGTTACGATTAGGCTACTATAGGTTAAGATTTCAACATTATATTAACAATTCAAATTAGCCTTGACCAGCTGCAACATTAAAGCGATAAACTCATAAATGCATCTTTAGTTATTATTTTTAAAATATTGTTATATACTTCATTTTGAAATGGGCCATTCTGCATATTGAGTACTTGTACTTTTGGTGCTTTAAGTACATTTGATAGCCTACTGATACATTTCTACTTTTACTTCAGTAAAATTTTGAATGTGGGACTTTAACTTGTAACAGAGTATTTCTACACAGTGGTATTGCTACTTTTACTGAAGTAAAACATCTGAGTACGTTTTCCACCACAGACTCTAGTCCATGATATCAACTAGTATGTTAAAAGACTAAAGGTAAGTTTTGCTTTATTACCTCATCATGAAGCTCCCTGCGTCAAAATATAGTTTTAAGGTGATACTGTACTCTCGTGGTGCATATTCCTAAATTACCGTTAAACTTCAATTAAAAGCCCAGTCTAAATTAAACGCCCAGTCCCTTTTACTAGCCCGGCATGGCTACACATTTTGACGAATAAAAGCCTGTCTCAATTAGAGGCCTGGTCTGGTCGCCAAGTTGTTCATTTTTTTTAATAGATGTTCTTTGGATGTTTAAAAGCAGGTTGTTGGCTACCTCAAATTATGTGTCCATCCTCAATTACCCTGTAAGTTACTGATATGCCTTTAGTGCGTAAGGGTCCTCAGATCAAAAGAATCAGAAGAGTTTTTCATAAAAATGAATCGAAGTTATGAGTATTGTTTTAACAGGATAAAGTTGTGTTGTGTTGGTATCCCGGAATTAAAGGCCCGTCCCAAATATAGGCCCGTTGATGTCAGTGATTTAAGCAAATAATAGCCCGGGCTACTAATTGAAGTTTTACGGTAATTGTTGTGTATTCAAAGACACACTTAACACTGTAATATTCCAGCATGGAAATACAGTGTGTAAGGCACACAGAGTGGGAGGAACAGGGGATTAGTTGGGCCCCAGGCAGCAGGACAACCTGGCCCTGGGTGTGCTGTTTTTGAATCCCACTTCTTCTGCACACCTCAGATCCAGAGTGGGCATCCTACAAGCTGGGTGTGTTTGTGTGTCTGATCTGCTCCGGTGTCCATCGCAGCCTGTCCAGCCGGGTCAAATCCATAAAGCTGGACTTCTGGGAGGATGAACTGGTGGAGGTAGTGTCCTTATTTCTGTTATTATTGCTATTATAACATACTAGTTTTTCAGGTGATAGTAAAAATTGGCTGTGTTCAGTGTGTAATCCTTATGTGTGTCTTTTTGGGACTTGGGCAGTTCATGAAATCCAGTGGCAATGCCAGCGCCCGTGATCTGTATGAGAAAGCTGTTCCACCGTACTACTATCGGCCCCGGGAAAATGACTGTGTGTAAGTAGGCTAAATGTCCAGGATGATCACATCTTTCAGAAATCTGTCTTTGTGGTGGAATGTGTGGTTGTGTGTACCAAGTGCTGACAGGGCAATGCTACAGTTAATAGAGAGAAGTGCAACTACCAACTGTAGAAGTGAAATAGGCACACGATTCTGCTGCTAGATCAAAGCTTTATAAATCATGTTCCTGTAGTGATATTGCAGCTTATGTTGACTTGTTTCTGTAGAACTTCCTGTCTAAGAATATTTTTTCCTGGTTGACCACAGTGTCTTACGGGAGCAGTGGATTCGGGCTAAATATGAAAGGATGGAATTCACAGGAGAAACCAAGTATCCACCAATTTCATACACCACAGGTGATGTTCTCACTGTTGTCTAACACACCTATCTACCGTAGAACATAAATCTGTGTCTATCTGTTGGTGCTAAACTAATGTGGTTCCTCATACGCATATAAAACTGTGCCAGAAAAACCCGTTCTTTGCACAACAAAACAGCCAGGAAGTGAAAGTTGAAAGATTGTCCCTCTTTGAAAAAGGTTACGTAACCAGGACTTTTTCATTTTGAGTAAGACCTGTGTTTACTGAATCACCTGTGACTCTGCATTTTTTTATTTTATTTGTTTGTTTATGTTGATAACAGGTTTCTATGAAGGGATGCTGTGGAAGAAAGGGAAAGAGAACACACAGTTTCTGAAGAGGAAGTTTGTTCTGTCAGAGAGAGAATTCACACTGAGTTACTACAACAAGGAAAATGTGAGCTCCCTGCAGCTTTGACATAGTTTGAACTGCACTGCACAATGTACATTAACCCATTTCAAGTCTTTAATATTGCAAGATGTGGAGTTAATATTAAAATTTCTTATGTGTGTAATGTAAAAGTATTTGTACCCCATTGATTTAACTGGATCTCTTTCCTGCTTAAAGGGACTGTTCACCTCAAAATG